GGGACTCCTGTGTGGGGGGCTCTCTGGGCGTGGGCTCTCTCCCACAATGCCTCAGCAGTTCCCTTGGGGAAGGGCAGATGGGCTTCGCCTGAGCTGCCTGCAGGGAGGGGGCCGAAACCCAGCTTACAGGGTTATAGCGCAAGATCAATAACTTCGTGCATCAATCACCCCTAAGCAAACCCCTCCCGACGAGACCAGCCGTCTTTTCTACGGAGAAGCAAGCGGCTCCTTCGGTCCAGTGATCAGCACCTTGCCCAACTCTGGCCCTCCTGCAAGTCCGTGAATTCCTCTGGATAAAGGACAGGCAAGGAGACCCTGGGCTGGGGGAGACAGATCAGAGGCTGGGGCCTGCGTTCAGGACTCGCTTCCTCCATCCATCGCACATATACTTGTTTCCTTTAGAACTTGTCTTCAGCCCCTTTTGCACTCATGGGCTGATATCTACCTGGCTGCCTTAACGCCAGGTGTGCAAGGATGACTACAAAGTGATCCCTGTTAGAACGTTCGCAGTGTCATGGGGAAAATAGGCAGGGACCCAGAGATTGGTAGTCCCCTACCATAAATACTGCAAGAGCAACAGAGGAAGTGCTAGTGCAGCTGTGGGGGATGGGATCACGGAGGGCTTCCTGGAGAGGATACTACTGGGTTTTGATGGATGAGTGAGAGTTTACCAGGTGGTGTTGGAAGAACGGAAGGGAAGGGCATCCTAGATGGAAGGAACCTCATAAACAGAAAAAGCACAGGGGCAGATACATCACCCAAGTGTTTCTGTATTCTGAAAATGGAAATCAGGCAAGAGAAAATGACAGGCAATGGAACCGGGGACCAAGGCCTGCAGGGCAGTGAACTTGAAGCAATGGGCAGACCTCCCAACACAACAATGCAGGGTGAAATAAAAATGTTCTTTTCAAGTGCATCCCAGCTCGTATATATAGTAAAGACCCACAAATGGAAGCAGGAGCCCTGAGAGGTAGGCCACAGCCAAGCCTGACTTCTGTCCTGAGGAGTGGCACGGACCTGAGCCCTGGTCCCTGGCCTCCGGCTGATGGCTATTCAGGATAGCTTGGCAAGAGAGTGGAGCCTGGACCCATTTCAAAGTAGAGATTCTTACAGGACACACTGTCACACAGGAGGTGCTGCCCTGCGGACAGTTAAAGAGAAGTAAACCTACCGACCAATTTTGGTATAGATGATTGGTGGGATTTTAAAAATTCTTTTAGTGATTACTAATGGATAGGGGCCCGCGCTGTGGGTAGTAGGCTAAGCCTCCGCCTGCAGCGTCAGCATCCCTATCAGCGCCAGTTTGAGTCCCAGCTGCTCTACTTCCAATCCAGCTCCCAGCTAATGCACCTGGGGGACAGCAGATGCTGGCCCAAGGATTGGGTTCCTGCTACTCACACAAGAGACCTGTATGGTGTTCCTTGTTCCTGCCTTTGATTTGGCCTGACCCTGGCTGTTGTGAGTGTGTGGGAGATCTCTCTCTCTCTGTTTCTCCCTCTCTCTGACTTAATCCAAATGATTAGGGTAATATATCTAGTGAAAAAACTTACAAGCTTGAAAATATAAGGAACAACAGTAGACTATAGCAAATTATCAAGCAGATTTGAGATGGAGCTGAAAAGAACTTCTAGAGATGAAAAATAAAATTAAAAACACAATGATGGGGTTTAGCATTAGACACGGGTGATTAGAGAATTAGATAAGAACAGAAAATGATGTCTAGAAATTAGCATAGAGAAGCAAAATGGTGGAAAATGAGAGGTTAAGAGACAAAGAGGACAGGACTAGAGGGAGGGACTAACACGTATCTCATCAGAGCTGCAGAAGAGCAGAAAAGGACGGCAAAGCAAATATTTTCTGGGCCAGCGCTGTGGAATAGCAGTTTGAGCTGCCGGCTGCAGCACTGGCATCCCATGTGGACGCCAGTTCAAGTCCCAGCTGCTCCACTTCCATCCAGCTCCTTGCTGATGTGCCTGGGAAAGCAACAGAATACAGCTCAAGTGTCTGGGCCTCTGCACTCGCTTGGGAGACCCAGATGAAGCTCCTAGCTTTTGGCTTTAGCCTGATCCAGCCCTGACTTGTGGCAGTTTAGGGAGTGAACCAGTGGATGGAAGAGCTCTCTCTGTCTCTTCCTCTCTTTAATTCTGACTTTTATTTATTTGAGAGGTAGCTTTACAGAAAGAGGGAGAGATAGAGAGGTCTTCCTTCCGTTGGTTCACTCCCCAGTTGGCTGCAATGGCCAGAGCTGTGCCCGATCTGAAGCCAGGAGCCAGGTGCTTTTTCCTGGTCTCCCACGTGGGTGGAGGGGACCAAGGACTTGGGCCATCCTCTACTGCCTTCCCAGGCCACAGCAGAGAGCTGGATTGGAAGTGGAGCAGCTGGGACTAGAACCAGTATTCATATGGGATGCTGGTGCCACAGGCAGAGGATTAACCTACTGCGCCATGGTGCTGGCCCCGAGAAATCTTTAAAAACAAAAACAAGGCCTGCACAGTGGCTCACTTGACTAATCCTCCACCTGCAGCGCTGGCATCCCATATGGGCTCCAGGTTCTAGTCCTGGTTGCTCCTCTTCCAGTCCAGCTCTCTGCTATGGCCCGGGAAAGCAATGGAGGATGGCCCAGGTGCTTGGGCCATGCACCTGCGTGGGAGACCGGGAGGAGGTACCTGGCTCCTGGCTTCGGATCAGTGCAGCTCCGGCCTTAGCGGCCATTTTGGGGGTGAACCAACAGAAGGAAGACCTTTCTCTCTGTCTCTCTCTCTCATTGTCTAACTCTATCTGTCAAAAAGAATTTTTCAATATTTATGAAATAAATGTTAAAAATGATTGACCAATACCAATCCCTAAATTTAGGAATCACAGTGAATCTGAAGTAGGAAAAATAAAAAGAAATCCATGCTTATATATGGCACAGTAAAATTGCAGAATACATTGAGGCTGGCACTGTGGTGTAGAAGGTTAAGTCTCTGCCTACAGTACTGGCATCCCACATGGGCACTGGTTTGAGTCCTGGCTGCTCTACTTCCAATCCAGCTCCCTGCTAATGCACCTGGGAAAGCAGCACCCTAACTGCTTGGGCTCCTGCACCCACATGGGAAACCAGGAAGAAACTCTTGGTTCCTGGCTTCAGATAGGCCCAGCTCCTGACAATGAGGATGGAAGATCTCAATCTCTCTTTCTCTCTTTCTCTCAATCTCTCTCTCTCTCCCCCTCCTCTCTCTGTATCTCTGCCTTTCAAATAAAGAAAAATAAATCTTAAAGAAAATTGCAGAACACTAGTTGGAAGCTGTCAGGGAGAATAGATTGATTACTAAAATGTGGCAGACTGGCTTCTCAGCAGACAGTGGGATATTAACTTTGATATCCTAAAGTACTCATAAAACAGCAGCATTCTAGAATCCTGCATGTAATGAAAATATTTGCAAGAATGAGGATGAAGCAAAGAATTTTGCTTTTTGGCAAACAAAACTAAAAGAGCTTACCATTAGTAGATTCTTTTGTTTAAAAAAAAAAGATTTATTTTATTTATTTGAAAGGCAGAGTTACAGATAGAGGGATAGACACACAGAGATCTTCCATCTGCTGGTTCATTCCCAAAATGGTTGCAGTGGTTGGGGTTGGGCCAGACCGAAGCCCGGAGCCAGTAGCTTTATCCAGGTCTCCCAAGTGAGAGGGGTCTAAGCACTTGGGCCATCTGTTGCTGCTCTCCTAGGCTATTAGCAGGGAGCTGGATCAGAAGTAGAGCAGCTGAAATTCAAATTGGTGCCCATAGAGGATGCTGGCATCACAGGTGGCAGTTTTACCTACTACACCACAGCACTGGCTCCTTAGTAAGATTCTTATTGAGGACATTATAAATGTGACACTTTAGGCAGAAGGAAATTGATCCCAGTTGGAAGGACTAAGAATTGATTTTTAAAATCTTCAGTCAAGATATTGGTGAGATAATGTTAAATGGAAACAAACATTGATTGCAAAAAATCATAATAGTATCTAATTGGTGGTGTTTATAGTGTAGAAGAGGACTAAAATAAGGAAAAACAATGACCTAGAGTTGGGAGCTGGCCAATTGGAAATAGTCTTGTCAGGTGCTTGTGTTACTAATTTGCTTATTTTACACAAGAGGATTTCACTATTCATTAATTTTAGACTTTGCTATCTAAAATACTTATATGAATATTAAAATGATTAGAGAAGCCCTCAAAAACAGACACAGACTATGTGACTTCCAAGACAGAGAGGAGAAGGAGTGAGAATGCAGTAATCCAAAACAAAGCGGGGACTGAGAAAAATAAAAGTGGGAAAGAAGAGATTGTGTGTCTGGTAATGGCCAAGTCGCTTCTGGATAAAACGCAAAAGCTGGAAGAGACCAGGGGGAGCCAACAGTTGGAAGCAGGGACAGCTACGCCGTGTAAGCAGATGTGACTTCGCACAGACACAGCACTGAGCCCAGGAAGTCAGACTGAACTGCTGTAGAATTCATTTGCATTCAGAACAAAAACATGCAACTCTAAACTACGGTGTTTGAAGTCAGCAAGGGGTTGCCCTTGGGGGGATTGTGAGACTGTGAGAGGGCCAAGGAGGGGTCCCGGTAATGCCTCTTTCTAGCCGTGGGTGCGCCCACCAGGTGAAAATTCATCCAACTTGGCATGATGCATGCACCTTTCTGAATGCGTATGATACCTCAGTACAAGTCAAAAACTCGAAAAGGGGGCAGTGCCAAGCCGCTAGGTGGGCAGGGGCAGAGTGGGAAGGGGCCCTGATGCCAGACCACGGAGCTTGGATGGGACCCGGAAGGCAGCGGGCAGACAGCGAGGCGATGGGGCACAATGCGCGGGATGCAGGTGGCCAGGAGAGAACAGTCCCTCCCTGTGGGCATTACTTGGCGGACTGGCCAGAATCTGAGCTCCAACGAGGAGGACTCGAGTTGGGGCTGAGGGGGCGGGACTGGAAGGACAGGGCAGATTTGAGGTGAAATCGGAAGATTGGTGGTTGATTACCTGCAGAAGGCCCGGGAAGGAGAGGGAGGAGTCAGACTGGGTCCTAGGGAGAGGCTTGTGGAGAAAGAGCAGGTTCAAGGTCAGGGTTTGTGCCGAGAGACGGAGAACTTGGCCGGGTTTGTGGAGCACAGGGAAGAAGCCAGTGGGGAGGAGCTGTTGATGCACAAGGCCCTTGACGCAGCCGGAGGGAACTGAGTTTCTGGGACCAGGTGTGGACAGCAGAGGGGCACGGGAGAGGTCAGACGGACAGGAAGGACTGCAGGAGAGTGGCCGTCAGCCGTGTCCTGCTCACACAAGTTCCCCGCCAAGTGCCAACCAGTGCCAGGGCTGAGGACTTAGACTGTCCAGACCCACTCACTGACCTGGGTGAGTGGAGGCGCAGCTTCCTGCACAGCCCCACTCTCGTTTGTAAATGGCGCCCAGTGAAGCGGCCCCATCCAGGCCCTGGCACTCATAATCAACTTAGATCGGGCTCTGGAGAACGACAGCTGCGGAGTCCTGGTTGTCTTATCATGGAGTGGAGCTTACCCCGCCCTCCGGCCCCATCCTTAGCCTGCTCTTATCTGCGCCTGGATAAGCAGGCAAGGTGGAGCAGACGGAAAGCTGAGGACTTGGGCACACAGATAGTCCTCTGGGCTCGCGGCCTTGGGACAGCAGGTTCCCTCTGTGGGTCTCCGTTTCCTCCACGGACTGCCTGATCCCCAAGCCTCTGTCACCTTGGGATAAACAGAGCTTTGAGGTCCGAGAGCTTCTGAGGGGGAAGCCTGGAAGGCCAGGCAAAGAACTCCACCTGCATCTCCTTTCCAGGCGGTTGGCAGGGTCTAGAGACAGAGCCTCCTTCTCCAGGACACCTGCCTGGCGGGCAGGAGCAGGAGGGGCCTCATTGGCTGGGACTTGGGGCTCATGGTGACTTCATAAAGAGCACCCCACCAGCCCGGGTGCGGGGACCTAGGTAAGCTGAGAGGTGGCTCTCAGCAAGTCCCAGGGGTGGGGGCAGCCAACACAGCCTATTACCACCTGGACCCCACCCCTCCGTGTGGAAGTCTCCCCCCTCTGGCTGTAACCCCAAGGTTAGAACTTCATACCTTTGGCTTAGAGCTGAATTCTCTTCCCAGGTGGAGGTAACCCGCGGTGACCTTTACAAGGGCAGCTCAAGGCTCACAGAGAAGAGTTCCCGCTGGCAAGGCCCTAGGGTGTGGTGGGCGGGGGCTGCGGGGGGAGCTGAGAGGGAGGAGGGTGTGCAGGGAGGCAGTGAGAAGGCAGAGAAACGGGAAACCAGACTCTGTCTTCCTCTCAAGTCCCCCCTCCTTCACCCAGAGGGAGGAAGGGGAGGTAGGGAGGGTGCCCTGTGGAGGCTGCTTTGGGCCCCACACGGCTGTCACCGTCACGGGTGAACATCGTCCCATCTGAAATGTGGAGATGGATGCTCAGAATTGGTGAGGCCACCTGCCGGGCCCACAGGGCTGCTGCTGAGAGACAGAGCAGGTGTGGGAGCCAGGCCTGGCTGACTGCCCGGCCCTGGAGGTGGCACCGAGGCTGGGCACCAGGAGAGCTGTCTTGTTTCCAGTGAACGTTTCCTCTAGGGTAGGGGTCTGGGAGGGGCAGAGGGAATGATGGATGAAGGATGAGGACCAAGAGGCACTGTTCCATGGAGAGATTTGTGAATCTCTGTGGTCTTATGTGGGAAGCTGTGGGTTTAGAGGATCTGGGTTTGAATCCCATCACTGCCATTTGCCAGGGACTCTGCAAAATTCAAGAGACTTTAGACCCTTACACAGTTGGAATTAACCCACCAGTGAAGGAGGATGATGATATCTGTCTTGAAGAATTTTCACTCATTCATTGCCTCACCCCGTGGATGTTTTTTGAACCTCCCTTGTATGCCAGGTGTTGTGCTATACTCTTGGAAAATAGCACTAGCAACATAGCCAGACACTCACCACACTGGTTTTTGGAGTGGAGACCTGTAAGTAAAACAGAGTGATCACTGACACAAAGGGATTGCAAGAGGAGGGGGCCTCACCCACATTTGGAGGTCCCAGGAAGACTTCCTGGAGGAGGTCACAGCTAAACCAGTGCTGAAAGGAGAGGGGAGAGGAGCTGCCAAGGTCCCCAGGCAGTAGGGCTGCCGATGCCTTGAGGTGCTGGGAGAAGTTCAGAGTGGTCTCATTGTGGGGTGAAGGGCAGGGAAGGGAGTGGATGTGGCTGGGGAGATGGCAGGCGCTAGGCTTCTAGGCTCAGAGCCCAGGCCAGAGAAGCCCAGATATCAGACTGCAGATCAGCAAGCCGCCATCGGTGGCCTGGCCACCAGCTCTGTGGTTATCCTTTGGGAGAGGGCGGGTAGGGAGAGGGCTGATCAAAGAGACAGGACGTGAGGTATCTGAGTGTGGGGCCTGGAAGTCTACTGTTGGGGAAATATAAGCAGCACCTGCACCTCTAAGCCTGAGAACCTGAGAGATGTCACAGAGGGTTGTAAGAGGGGGACATCACGGCCAGACCCCGTGACTTCCTCCTTCCCCTGCGAAGACCTTTACAGCTCCTCCCTCCCCAGGCACCCTTCTGACCTCCAAGGTTTCTGATAAGAAATCGGCTGTCATTCAAATAGGGCGCTCCCTGCTGGGTAATGCTCTCTGGCTGTTTCGGAGAGGTACCTGTTTGCTTGTTTTCCAGTGTCTCTAGTTGTAAGCAGTTTATTGTGAAATGTTTCAGCGTGGGTTTCTTTAGGTTTGCCTCGTTTTGGGGGTTTGCTCATTTTCCCGAGTCTACATGTTGCGTCTTTGACTAACTTTAGGAAGTTTTCAGCCAGTACTTGTTTGAATGTTTTTCATCACTCTTTCTCTTCTCCTGGTGGAACTCTGATAATAAGGATTTAAATACTTTCCCATTGTTCCACAGATCCCTGAGCTTCTGGGTTGTTTTCCATTTTCTTTTTGTTGCTTACATTCAGTAAATTTTATGGATTCTATCCTCTGTCATCTCCACTATTGAGCCCATCCATCAGGTTTGTTTTTTTAAGTCAGTTATTAGGATGAGGGATGAGGGATGAAGTGTTTTTCAGTGGCTATCATGTTTCAGCTATGCAAGATGAGTAAGCTGTAGAGACCTATATGACATGGTGCCTGTGGTTAACAAGATGATACTGTGCACTTTGAAGTACGTCTAGAGCCTAGACCGTGTGCCAAGTGTTCTTTTTTTTTTTTTTTTAAAAGATTTATTTATTTGAAAGACAGAGTTACAGAGAAGCAGAGAGAGAGAGAGAGAGAGGTCTTCCATTTGCTGGCTCACTCCCCAGATGGCTGCAACAGCTGGAGCTGTGCTGATCTGAAGCCAGGAGCCAGGAGCAGCCTTCTGGTCTCCCATGTGGGGGCAGGGGCCCAAGACTTGGGCCATCTTCTTCTGCTTCCCCAGGCCATAGCAGAGAGCTGGATTGGAAGTGGAGCAGCTGGGACACGAACCAGCACCCATATCGGATGCCAGCACTGCAGGCGGTGGCTTTACAAGCTATACCACAGTGCTGGCCCCGTGCCAAGTATTCTTAACACAAAAACACACAGACACGTGAACAACACAAAAGAACACAAGGACATTTTGGGGAGTGCTATGGTTATTGTGATGATAGTACTGTGCATGTATGCATATGTCTAAACTCACTAATATGTATACATTAAATATGAACAATTTCTTGGTATATCAACTATCCTTCAATGAAACCAAAAATTTGTTATTGTCTTTTAAATAACTTAATGTCAATTAATGTCTGTTTTAAAAATAACTCATTTCTCTGTTGAAATTTTCTGTTTTTTTCCCTCCTTGTTTCAAGATGATTTGCGATTGCTTATTGAAGCATTTTCATAATGACTGCTTGAAAATCCCGGTCACAAATATCTGATTTATCTGTGTCAGTGTTGATTATCTTTTCTCAAGATGAGATTTGCCTAGTTCTGGGTATGATAGGTGATTTTTTACTGCATCCTGGCATTTTGGGTATTGTTATATCTTAATGTTAGCCGTCGCAAAGCACACCGGACACCGGAGTAAGGGGAAGGGTTTATTGGGGAACAACCTACAGACCGGAGTGAAGGGGCGGCGAAGGAAAAAGGGAGAAAGAGAATATAAGAGAGAAACAGAGAGGAGAGGAGCTAGCAAGGAGAGAAGAGAGCAGAGGAGAGAGGAGAGGAGAGAGGAGAGCAGAGCCAAGAGCCAAGAGGAGGAGGCTAGAGAGAGGAACCGAGAGAGAGCAGGAGAAAAGGGCCAAGAGAGAAGGGGCAAGAGAGAGCAGGGAGCAGAGCTGAGATAGAGCAGGAGAGAAGGACGAGAGAGCACGTGTTCAGGAACAGGCCCTTTTAAAACTTTGCCTGAGGGCGGGCAGGGAAGCAGGAGCAGCCAATCCCATTAGGATGGGGGTGGAGCCTGGCTCAGGTGGCTGGGCCATACGGCCAACTGTGCCAGTTTCCTAACAGGTATTATATTAAGATATTCTTGTTCCTGCTTAAATCTATTTTATCCTCAACCTGTTAAAGTTCAATGTGCAGGTTCCAGCCCACTTTTGTGAACTGTGGTTCCAGCGACAGTTTTCAGAGGCCCGGTTTACATCATTTTTTCTGGCGCAACAGGGCTGGCTCCTACTCGGCCCTGCTGGTGCTGCCTGCAGGGGCAGAAGGCTTTTCCCGGGCTGCCTCCTGGCTCCGGGGGCCCAGGAGCTGTGGCGTCTGCTAAGTTCTCGGCCACTGTATGGAGGCCTGGAGATGCAGGGCTCTGATGACACTGCCGCTGTTGGTAGATCGGCCTGGGCTGCCCCAGGAAGGAGTAGGGCTTGGGCACATGCTGGGGGTTGGGGCTCCCTCTCCACTGGGCTTCCATGTTCCTGGTCCCCTGCCTGGAGAGAGCAGGCTTCTTTTCTTCTTCTGAATGTGTGTTTGTGCTCTCTGCAGCTCTGCATTGCAGGCCAAACAAAATGCAATCCGGGAACTCTCTCTCTCGTGTCCTTCCTCCAGTCTGCTGCCTCCTTTCAGCTTTCACAGTCCTTTTTATGGTTGTCTGTCGAACTATTTCTAGACTATTTGGCTGATCTTAGAAGGGAGGAGCAGAGAAAAGTGAATCAATGTACACTCTTGTCCATCGTTTGCCTTACAAGTTGTGGCACAAAGTAAATAGAATAAAACTGCTGCACACACAGGACACTCGTGTTGTGCAATCGTCGCCACCACCCACTTCCACTCCACAGGGAAACCCTGGGCCCTTGGGTGGTCACTTCCCCTTCCCTGACCTGCTTCTGTCTACTGCAGTCTGCTTCCTGCCTCTGTAGATCTGGCCACTCTGGATATTTCATATAATATTAGTATAATTTGTGGCCGACTTCTCTCACTTAGTATAATGCTTTCAAAGTTTATTCAAGTTTGGCATGTGCACATACTTCGTTCCTCTTTGTGGCTGACTAGCTCCTTGTGTGGGTACGTATTTTGTTCGTCTGTTGATGGGCGTTTGGTCTGTCTATCTTTGGCTCTGTGAATGCTGTTGTTATCAACATTTGTGTACAGGCTTTTGTTGGGACACAGAGCTCCAGTTCTTTTGGAGCTTAGAGTAGACGTCTCGGGTCAACTTGGAGTGGATGTGCTGGGTCATAGTGCGATTCGGTTTCCCACCCAGTCGGCTTTTGCAGAAGCTGCACCGTTCCGTTCCACCTACAGTGTATGAGGAGCCTCGCCCCTCCACATCCGCATCAACGCTCACTGCTGTCCGCTGAAGCCCAGCCCTCCTAAGTAGGCAGGGGAAGTTTTACCCTTGTGGTTCTGATGTTCATTTCCCAGTGACGACCTTTATTTAACTTATTTTTCATATACTCACTGGTCGCTTGTATATATCTTTGATGAGGTGTCTATTCCAAGCTGTTTGCCCAGGTTTTGGCTGGGTTTTGTCTTCCTGTTGTTGCATTGTAGGGTTCTTTATATAGTCTTGACACTGGACCTTTATCAGGTATGTGATTTGCAAATATTCTCTCCCATTTGGTAGATTGTCTCTCTGCTTCTTGACGCTATATTTTAATGCACAAAAGTTAAATTTTGGCGGCGTCCAATTAATCTATGTTTTTCTTTGTTGCTTATGCTTTTGGTGTCATATATAAGAAACCCTGTTGCCAAATCTGAGGTTATGAAGATTTACTCCATGTTTTCTGTCTAGAGTTTTGTAGTTTCGGCTCTTAACTTGAGGCTTTTAATCCATTTTGAGCTAATTTTCACGTTGGCGTGAGGCAGGAGTCCAGTTTCCCACTTTTTCATGTCAGTACCGTTTGTTGATGAGATTATTCTTTCCTCATTGTTCTTCCCCCTCTTCAAATTCATTCCACTGTCTCCATTACACCTGCCACCAGCTATGTGAAATCTTTTCTTTTTTTTCCTTAAAAATTTAAAAAATTTATGTGAAAGGCAGAATTATAGACAGAGAGGGAGAGGGAGAGGGATGGGGAGGGGGAGGGAAGGGGGAGGGGGATGGGGAGAGGGATAGGAGAGAGAGAGAGAGAGAGAGAGAGAGATCTTCTATCCACTGGTTTACTCTGCAAATTGCTGCAGTGGCTGGGGCTGGGCTGGGCTGAAGCCAGGAGCCAGGAGTTTCATCTGGGTCTCCCATGCAGGTGCAGGGACCCAAGCACTTGGGCCATTCTCCACTGCTTTCCCAAGTGCATAAACAGGGAGCTGGATTGGAAGTGGAGCAGCTGGGACTTGAACCAGTGCCTGTATGGGATGCCGGTCCTGAAGGCAGCAGCTTTACCCGCTACGCCACAACATCAGCCCCCGTTGTATGCAGTCTTGAAGATCTTTGAGGCTACCTTTGGAAAATAGTTTGTTGGGAGCTGAGCTGGATACAGGGGTTCCTATTGAGTGAGAAACTCCAAGATCCATCCCTGAGAAGTGGGGGTGGGACTGGGGTATGACGGTGAAGACGGAGAGGTGGGCAGAGATTTGAGAGTGGTTTTAGTGTCAGAATTGGCAGAATGCAGGTGCAGCAAGTGAGAAAGATTGGAGTCCACGACACTGTGCTTCTGGTCTGGGTGGTGCTGCCAGTTCCTTGCCATGAGAGTAGGTGGGGGTGGGGGCCGTGGAGACTCTGTGCTGGGAGTCTCTGGGTATGAGCTGCCCCAGCGTCAGGTGCTGTGTGTACACACAGACTCCCCGGGGTGACTAGTGTGTCTGTCTTCTGAAGGCTCGGGCATTCACTGAGGCTGGGGAGCGAGGACGTGGTCAGTCAGTGATTCTTGCAGTCTTGGCCAGGACTATCTGTCTCATGGCCATGCTCTGCCCTCCCCCACTCGGCACCCCAGGACTTGGGGTCAAAGGCCGGTGGGCAGCTGTGGTTGTCGCTAGCAAGTCATGGGCTTCTTTAGCTCCCTTGGCTTCCTCCTGGGCCCTCATCAGTCACCATTGCTCTCTCTGCACAGTGTCCATTTGGTGGTGGGCAAGCCTTGGGTGGCCCCAGCCACTGTCAGTCAGCCCTGAAGACCTACTTGTTGGTTGCAAGGTGGATGGGGAGGAGCACGAAGGGAATAGGAGAGCCTGGGGAGGGAGCTCTGGTTTCTCCAGAGAAGAGGGAGGTCAGCCAGGGTTGAGACCTGCGGCCTTCTGCCTGTTTCCCGATGGTGTTCGCCTGCTGGGTCCGGGGGAAGGCCCTGTTCTTGTCTTCCAGAGCCCAAATCAGGTTTTCCAAGGTCATACTCTCTGCCTCGTGGGCTGCATCTTTTTCAAGTCCAACAGGCCTCTCACTCATGATGATGGTCTATATGTGTGTGTGTGTACTTGTGTGCACAGGTGGGCACGATGAACATGGGAGAATCCAGGCCCCCTTTAAATAAAAGAAGCAAAAATTACTAACATGGAATTCAGTCTAGGGTCTTTGGAAGGGGACCGTGAAATAAGGCGCCTTGAAATGTTTACTTCCTTAGCGTCAGGGTAAAATCACACACGGATGTAGGTGAATGCTTCCTGCTTCCCTAGCAGATGCAAAGCTGTGTGGGACCACTTGTGTGTCCAGCAGACAGAGACATTAGCTAAGGCCGTCGGTGGGCCACGTGCTCCGCGCCAGGCAGGGGGGCGACAGGGCCCTGAGCGGAAGGTTTTATGCCTCCTGGAGTAGAGATGAGGAGGGCAAGGCTGGGGGTGGGGTCGGGTGGGAGCGTCTCTCCTGCCCACGTTCACTCAGACTAGTGGGAGGATGAGGTGGGATTTGCACTCAGGACTAGATGTCTCCAAATCTTTCCAAAACTCAGCTGTAAAGTTACACATCAAACTGCACATGAAAGGATTCACTGAGTGAGACAGTGCATGACTGAATCGTGGGGGCGTGCAGATGATCTCGGGTGCCCAGAGGGCCAGCAGGGCGGGTGACCTTCCTGTCCTTGAACTCTCTTCAGAGATGGGGCAGGTGGATGTGTATATGGTGTGTGTAGGTGGGAGTTGGTTAACAGGTGTGCACATCCGGGCCATAGACTTTTTCAACAAAAAAGCTGCTCTTCCCCTGACTCGACTTCCTTCTGCCTCTCCTCCCAGGGCCCTACTCCTGCTTGAGAACACCATGCACGCAGGTGAGCTGGAGGGTCCGGGGGCTGCGGTGGGGGATGATGGGAAGGTTGGGGAGGGGCATCACCCAGCAGCTAGAGTGCTAGATTGAGGCAGGCTCAGATTTTGACAACTGCCCAGGGTTCTGCGCATGGTCTGCCTCAGCTGGAACAGGTAAACAACTAAGGGCTGTAGGCAGCTCTGCCACTGGCTTTGAGAATCTAGTGCCATGGCCTCTTGCACAATAGTTCTAGGGGCCGGGGTTGTGGCATAACAGGTTAAGCTGCCACTTGCGATGCTGGCATCCAATATGGCCATCAGTTTGAGTCCCAGCTGCTCCACTTCTGATCCAGCTCCCTGCTAATGTGCCTGGGAAAGCAGTGGAAGATGGCCCAAGTGCTTGGGCCCCAGCAGCCACGTGGGAGAATCAGAAGCTCCTGGCTCCTGGCTTTGGCCTGGCCCAGCTCTGGCAGTAATCATTTTGGGGAGTGAACTAGCAGACAGAAGATCTATCTCCCCCTACCCCTATAACTGTACCTTTCAAATAAATAAAATAAATCTTAAAAAAAAAGATGCCCCACACTCCTATATGTAGTTCTTGACATTGTAGGAGTCAGGAATTGGCAAAAGGCAGTTGGAAGATGTTCCAAACAAAGGGTGCTGCGTTTGCCTCGGGCCCTCAGCCTAGAGGGAGCAGGTTGTGGTCCAGGGAGGGGAGCTCAGGGGATACGGCTAAAGCCCTGGAGATCAAGGAGGGGAGGGGCGTGGGAAGAGGCTGGGGAGGTGGGCTGGACACTGTCACCAAGGGCCTTGTCACAGTGTGGGAGCCCTCAGCCTAGGGAGAGCGGAGAGCCACAGCACCGTGTCCACAGCTGGTGCCTGGCTGCATTTGTCTTCTTTTCCTCCCTTCCAGGAGTACTGCAGGGAGCGCAGCAGTTGGCTATTGAAGAGAAAGGGGCAGTGGCATTGAGAGACCTCCAGACTGGACATGGCTCTGAGTCCAGGGGCAAGTCTGGAGCTTGAAGAGCCAATGGTGCCACCAAGTGTCCATCCCCGTGGGGCCCTGGGCTTAGCCTCCGGCACTGTCCCTGGGGCCAGCCCAGACGTGGCCCTCATTCCTATCTTGAATCCACCTCTAAGTCCTGGCTCGGCTCTCATCCCAGACCTTAATTCCACCCTGACTCCTGTCTCAGGGAGGGCCCTTGGCCTGGAGTGTGATAGCAACCCCAGCGCTGACGACAGCAGGGCCGTGGCTCCAGCCTCCTTCCAGATAGCCAGTTCCTTCTCTGGTGAAGCCCAGGTCCTGGATTCCAATCATGCCTCAGGGTCTGACTCCCAGGGGGCCCTCTGTGCAGCCTCCAGCCCCGTTCTGAGCTCTGGCTCCCCTGAGGCCACTGCTCAGAGCTCAGGGATCCTCTCTGGCCCAAGTGCAGAGGAGGCCCTCAAGTGCCTCTCTAGCAGGAATTTCGATTTGGGTCAGAGTAACACCAATCCTTCCAGACCAGAATCAAACCCGTTCATAAGGGCCCATTCAGGAGAGGCCCTGGTGCTAGGCCACTGCATCTCCCGGCCAAGCTCCAAAGCACTCCTCCTGCCAGCCTCAAATACTTCTCTGGATCCCAACTCCACACAGCGGCTCAGTGTGGCTTCAAGAAACGTCTCCAAGCTGGATCTGAACAGAGCTCCAGACTCAAGTGAGACGGTCACGCTGGCTGCCCATAACCTCTCCGGGTCTGTTTCCCGAGGCGCCTTTGGTGCAACCTGGAGCTCAAGTTCCAAGGGGACCATCGATGTGACTTCCAACAGCCACTCCAGATCCGATTTGAACATGACCCTCACCCAGGCCTCGTGTGTGACCCTGATCCCTGGCTCCAGCGATGGGATCAGCCTGCACTCCAGCGTCCAAGGACCCATCGCCTCCCTCTCGCCACCCTCCTGCATGACTCTGATCCTGGGCTCCAACGAGACCCTCAGCGTGGGCTCCAGCTTCATGTTCAGTGACACCTCGACCTTGACCCTGAGCAGCCAGCAGGATTATTCCGAGGACAACAGCATCCGCACCATGGTCCTTGATGACAATCTGGAGAGCTGGGGTGAGAGGGCCAGTGTGGAGGTGGGCCATCTCCCTCTGGGGCTCCCCACCACCCACGCTGGGGACAGAGACACCATGGCCTTCCGAAGCATCCCGGATGGTGAGTTAGGCATGAGTGGGCGACAGCCCTAGAAATCTGCATTCAGATCTATGGGGCAAGGAAGGGAACAGAGAGGAGAGAAGGGAACAGCAGGCCACAGATAACAGACAGCATGTCAGCATGTTTATTTCAAGGGAAAGATCTAACACTCTCCTGCTGGTAGCTCTGTGACCTGGGGCAAGCTACTAAACCTCTCTGAGCTTTAACTTCCTTAGCAGTGATAGCACATATGATAATACTTCTGTTCTCTCCAAATTATTGGCCTTCCATTCGAAGTGCACACTTCTTTCTCTCTGGGTAAATTTCACACCTCATGTCTCTGGCTAAAGTTTTTTTTAAAAGATTTATTTATTTGAAAGTCAGAGTTACACAAAGAGAGGAGAGGCAGAGAGAGAGAGAGAGAGAGAGAGAGAGAGAGGTCTTCCTTCTGATGGTTCACTCCCCAGTTGGCCGCAATGGCCGGAGCTGCGCCAATCTGAAGCCAGGAACCAGGAGCTTCTTCTGGGTCTCCCATGTAGGTGCAGGGGCCCAAGGACTTGGGTCATCTTCTGCTGCCTTCCCAGGTGCATTAGCAGAGAGCTGGATTGGAAGAGGAGCAGCCGGGACTAGAACCGGCGCCCAGATGGGATGCCAGTGCTTCAGGCCAGGGCGTCAAGCCACTGTGCCACAGCCCCGGCCCTCTGGCCAAAGTTTGAGCAGTGGAGCAGGCAGGCTGCAGGCTCAGCTCACGTCTGCTGGGTCTTGGAGGTTCTCACCTGATGAGGCCCTGTCTAGAGCCCGCGCCTCACTCCTGACATGCAGGAGTGCTATAAATTAATGCCCTGGCAGCTTCCAATGCTATGACTATCTTCCACCAGTCCATTCGTGTTTGTTCATGCACCAATAGCATACGGTGATTTTAAAACAGTGACCGTGGTTTTGTGACATTGTATTCCTATCTGCTAGGGTGAGAATTCCTCTTCCAAATTCTCCTCAAAATTGACTTAGCTCTTAATAGACCTTCATTCCTCCAAACACATCTTAGGATGTCTAGGTCTTCAAAAAATCTTGCTGGTATTTTTATTAGAATTTTATTCATTTATCTGCCTATTTGAGTTTTCCTTTACACAGGATATTTGCTTTACTAGAATTGAAAGAAATTCTCCATAAAGGTCTAGTACATTTTCTGATGATTAATCCTAGATATGATATGTTTTTCTGCTGTCATGAATCATATCTTATTTTCTAAGACAATTCCTACTTGGTACTGAGAGAGGTCTTCCATCTACTGGTTCACTCCCTAAATGGCTGCAACTGCCGTCAGTGAGCCAATCAGAAGCCAGGAGCCAAGCACTTCTTCCAGGTCTCCCATGTAGGTGCAGGGGCCCAAGGACTTGGGTCATCTTCTGCTGCCTTCCCAGGTGCATTATCAGGGAGCTGGATGAGAAGTAGAGCAGCTGGGATTCTAACTGGTGCCCATATCAGATGCCCCCATTGCAGGTGGTGACTTGATCCATTACTCCACAATGCTGGCCCCTAGAACATTTTATTCACCCCCAAAAGAAACCCTGTACCTTTTAGACATCACCCAACCCAAGACCCCAGCCCTAGGCAATCATGAATCGATTCTCTGAGTCTTCAGAGAGAGAGAGAGAGAGACAGAGACAGAGACAGAGACAGAGAGACAGAGAGGTCTCTCATCCACTGGTTCACTCCCCAGATGGCTGTAACAGCCAGAGCTGAGCTGATCTGAAGCCAGGAGCCAGGAGCTTCTTGCAGGTCTCCCACGTGGGTGCAGGGGCCCAAGCACTTGGGCCATCTTCTACTGCTTTCCCAGGCCATCAGCAGGGAGCTGGATGGGAAGAGGAGCAGCTGGGTCTCAAACCCAGGCATTTGGGTATGGGATATGGGTGTCTGAGCTTCTAGGCCAAATGCCTGCCCGATTACTATCTTACATAGTGTTCTTGTATTCACTCAAGTGTTAACCTCGTTCCTTCCCTTCACCATTTACTGCATCTCAGACTCTCCACCAGGGTTTCACTTCTTCCCCGTCTGAAGTAGGCCCTTTCGAATTTCCTTTAGTGAATTTTGCTAATGGAAGACTCTTTCGAGTTCAAGTTTTGTCCTTCATTCTTTTTCAGAATTTAAACAGTAAAATCTCGTAAGAATGTGCGTTGTTCTTTCTGCCTCCTCTCAGCATTTACCCTCACCTGGTGCATGATGTATGTTTTTGGTCGTTATTGATCTGTCTGCCTACTCCCATTAGACTGTGAGTTCCATAAAAGCAAAAATTTTGTTCGCTTTTGCTAACTGCACCTGGAAGAGTTCCCGTCACATAGCAGATGCTTAATAAGTATTTGCTTAACTGTGAAAAGAAACTAGGGCGGGCATTTGGTGCAACAGATAAGAGCAAGTGCCTGGGTTCTAGTCTCACCTCTGCCCTTGGTCCTAGTTACCTGCCGGTGCACACGCTGGGAAACAGCAGGTGATGTTCAGCTAGGTGGGTCCCTGCTACCCATGTGGGAGAGCTGGATTGAGTTCCTGGATCCTGGCTTTGGCCTGGTCCACTCCTGCCTATTGTGGGCCTTTGGGGACAGAGTGAACCAGTGGATGGAAGATCTCTCTCACTCTTTCTCTCTCTCACATACTTAAAAAATAAAAGAAAAAACTTACAGAAAAGTTCAAAGTATTGGATAAAATGTTTTGCTCTTCCTGGATCACATGAGAATAAGTAGCCAGATGATGTTCCCCACCCATGAATTTCAGAGTCTTTCTCTCTCTCTTCTCTCTCTCTCTCTCTTTCTCTTCCTTCCTTCCTTCCCTCCTTCCTTCCTTTTTTTTTTTTTTTTTTTTTTTTGACAGGCAGAGTGGACAGTGAGAGAGAGAGACAGAGAGAAAGGTCTTCCTTTTTCGTTGGTTCACCCCTCAATGGCCACTGTGGCCGGCGTACCGCGCTGATCCGATGGCAGGAGCCAGGTACTTCTCCTGGCCTCCCATGGGGTGCGGGGCCCAAGCACTTGGGTCATCTTCCACTGCTATCCCAGGCCACAGCAGAGAGCTGGATGGGAAGAGGAGCAGCCTGGACTTGAGCTGGCACCCATATGGGCTGCCTGCATTGCAGGCGGTGGCTTAACCTATTAGGCCACAACACCAGCCCCACAGTATTTCTTAGCACCAGAAGGAAGAAACAGATTCCCCCGTCAGGAAGTTGCTCTCAGTACACAGCTGCCACCTACCCCTCAGCCCCCACTCAGCCATCACCCATTTTCCTAGCGATGTTCGCTGGAGCTGAAGGCCCGGATCCGCCTCTCTCGTCTCAATGTCCCCTGGTCCCGTGCGCCCGGCCTCCTCCAGGCCTGGCTCCGTGTCCTGGACACGACTGCAGAGCACAGGCCACTGTTTCCCTGTGCCTGGGTCTGGGGCTGCTCAGGTGTCCTGGTGACCAGAGCCGGGCCATGCGCTTCGAGGCCAGGTGGTCCTATTGCACCCGCCCCAGCTGCCGGTCCCGGCTGCTTTGTGCCCTTGCTGGTGTTCATAGCGTAGGGGAGAAGGTTGCTGCCGCTGATCTCACTGGGAAAGCCCTGTCCCGCCCTGGGTAGAGGCCCTGTTGCTCATCCGACGTTCCGTTCGTGCATCTGCGTCTGCGTCGGTAGACAAGTGGTTTCCTGCCTCACTCAGTGGCCCACCCTGTGCTGCTTCCCTTTGTCTTCCATTTGATCAGGGGAGCCCCTTCCCCTTTGACACGGCCCCCATCATTCCTGGAGCCCTCTCCCTCGGTTTCGGTACAAGAGGTCCCAGACTCCTCCTGGGCACTCCCTGCAAGGAGCCTGGCTCATTTCAGACAAGGATGGGTTGAGAAGCCAAGATCTTGGCTCTAGCTCTGCTCACTTCGTCCTCTGGGCTCCATCTTCTGCCAGCGTCCGGTGGCAAAGATGACCATGGAGTTCCAGGCACTTGGAGGCCCTCGTGAACTTGACCTCAGAGGGAGAGACCGGCTCTTCTTTGGGGTCCCTCTCAACCCTTAAATAAAGGGCTTTCCTGGTCCTACTCAGCCAATTGCCCGTCCCTGGACCAGTCACCATGGCCAATCATGGGTTCCAAGCCCCCTGTGGAGGAGGAGTGGTGGGCGGGGCGTGCAGGATTCAGCCTCACCGGCTGCATGGAATGGGCAGCCTCCTGGAAGAAAGCAGAGGAGGTCAAGGCTGACAACCAGCCCATGCCTCACCGGGCTTTACTTAGGGATTGCAGCTGCTGGGAGAGGGAAGAAGGCACGTGTGGGGGCAGTGCAGTGGGCCTCGCCGAGCCTGGAGGCCAGCAGGGGCCTCCCTGAGGAGTGGCAGGCAGGGGAGGAGACCTGGAGGCCAGTGGAGGCCCAGGTATAGGAGACCCCCTGTGCAGCAGGGCCCTGAGGGGGTTGCTGGGGGTGGGCGAGGGCTTACGCTGGGGAGGGAGATGGGGAGCGGTAGGGATGACTAGGAAGGGCCCACAGTGAAGGCCCCCCCCACCCCGGAGCCCCTACCCATTTCACACTGCAGGAAGTGGGTACCACGGGAGGGTTTTGGTGGGGGGGGGGTGACTAAGCTCGGTGTGGCTGCTGCGGGAGGGAGCAGTGCAGGGTCCGGTGGGGGAGGGGCTGGGGCTCTGGCACCCTGGGCGCACTGTTTACCCTCCCTCCCCTCTCCTCCTCCGGACGTGATGCTCAGGAACCTTCAGTGAAGTGACTTCGCGCCTGACGAAGGGGCCAGACAAGAGAGAGGTTGGTAACGGAAGGGCCCTGGCACATCTCCTCTGGAGCCCCCACCCTAGCCCTGAGTTCTCAGCTCCTCTCCCACCCCCACCCCCCCAGTGCTCTTTGCCGTCTGTGGCCCTGACCTGTCACTAAACCCTCCAACTTCTCACTTGTCGCCTGCACTGACTCGTGTCCTCCCTAGATCAGGGGTTTCTGTCCGTCGCAGTCACAGCTGTATCCTCAGCCTCGAGGACAGTGCTGGCTACATAGTAGGTGCTCACTGAAAGATCGTGGGTGAGCCCTGGAAAGGACACCACGGCTGGAACTGAACTTTTTCAGGACACAGTCAGACCCACCCCAGATCAGGCCCATGCCTACAGGAGGCCTTGGGTGGCCAGAGCCTGGGCCAGGCAGTGGCACACTGGGGAGGGCCAGGGGCAGACTGGAGCAGCCGGTCAGCAGGAGTGACCCACAGGACTGAGGACAAGATCGGCTGGTGGACGGCGGGTGGATCCACCCAGGCCAGGGCTCAGGGAGGGAAGCCTTGTCCCCAGGCTGCTTCAGAGACAAGCTCCAGTCTTGAGCAGTCAGGACGGGGGCTGGGGAGAGTCTGGCGGGAGTAAGAGACCCTGCGTTTGGGCGGCATTTGTCCCCACCCCCTGGCATTCTTCTAGTCATCTGCCTTGCTCTTCTACTCTGGTCTTTTCCTGCTCCTCACACACCAGATTCACTCCTACCTCTGGGACTCTGCACCTGTCTCCTCTGCCAGGAAGCTGCTTCTCACCCATCAAACGGGCACGGAAAAGTTGAAGTGAGGCCTGCGTTAGGTAATGCATGGTGCCTGCACAGACGAGACTGATTATTACTGTCATTTAACACATTAGTGAGCGCCTACTATATACTAGGCACTGTTTGAGGCACCCAGGATACAGCAGTGACCTGCCATTCCAGTCTTTTCCCTTGTCTTTGATGTGGCTAGCTTTCTACTCACTCAGGACTCAGTCTAAAAGTCACCTCCTCCGAGAGGCCTTCCTGGACCAATTCAGTCTGAGTCAGCCACTCTCCTCCATCTCTCTTGCAGTTTCAGTTGTCAGTTACTGCCTAACAAACTACACTGGAACTTGGCACTGTGACTACTGGGGGAGTCAGGGTTAGAGGGGCCCAATTTCTCTGGAGTCTGAAGTCCACCGGGCTCAGCAGGGTGGTTGTTCTGCTCCATGTAGTATAGATTGAGGTCACCTGGGGTGGAGTGGGGGGAGTCTGGAACATCCATGATGACCCCTCACCTTCCAGGGCCTCTTTCCACACGGTCTTCCATTCTTTCAGAGTCTAGCTTGGGCTCCCTCAGTGGGATGGAACTCATGGCTGCCTCTAACCCCACACTCTCCATGGGTTTAACTTGCTTCACTTTCTCCACTAAATGAAGTTGATTTGCTTGTTTCCTGGCTATCTTTTGGCCTTCTGCTGTAAGATAATGGGAACTAATAGACCATTATTAACATGTTCCCTCCCTCAATGGCAGAATGCTGTGGTCTGTCTTGTGAGCACTTGAAAGCCTTAAGAAGTGTTGCTCCTGGTGGAATTTCAGATTGAGGGGTAGGGACCTTTTCTGTCCCTCCCTAAAGTTACCTGGAAAAGAGGGAGTGCTTTACAGCCCCTCATATGTGGTCCTCTTCCACATGCTGGCTTCCAGGATTCCCCCTACCCTGATTTTCCCCAGTCCTCATCCCACCCCAAGTCGGGGCTGACATCTAGGGCTCATTTGCCCACAGGTGCCAGATAATTAAGGGCATGTGGGCTCAGTGGGGCTCACATCCTGAGGTTTCGCCTTCTGCCGCCCCCAAGGTGGAGAAGGGCATCACCCTCCAGAAGAATCAGGATCCGCTGGAAGGGGGAGAGAAGAAGACCATGATGAAGAAGATGATGGTGCGGGAGCCACATGCGGGTCTGTGGCGCTGGGGTGGAAAGGGGGCTAATTCTCAAGTTCAGCCACTGAAGAGACTGGGGGGGGGGTGAGGTGGGAAGAGGACAGAAAGGGAGATGGGGAGCCAGGACACCTGGACGTGAGCCTCAGCTCCACTCCGTCTGCCCTCCACCCACCTGAGGAAGTTGGATGACTCTTCTCTGAGCCTCACTCTTCCCATCTCACAAAGGGGTATGACGTACCTGTGTCATACAGGTGTTGGAAGAACACAGCCCAATGGCTATCGCACTGCTAATCCTTGTGCACCTGAGCAGTTATTATTATTCTTATCCCGGAAATTCCTCCTTCCTCATCCCCTTGCTGAATACAGTCTCTGCCCAGCTATCCAAAGAGTAGCTGGGCAGGGATAACCTCTGAGCTTTCCAAACTTGCACTTGGCTTTGTGACTCTCAAAGAGACAGAGGAAAAAGAATCCTTACCCCTCTACCTTCATTTCCCTAACTACTGTGTATAGGAACTAGATCAACGGTGAGGATCTGAAGGACACTTTTCTAGGTATCCAAGCAGTTCTCAAAAGCTGTGCCTGGTGTCCCTCGCTTGGGGCCAGGCTGTACTTTAAACACGCCTCCCACCGTGAGGTCATGGGAGACAGTTCTGGGGCCTTGGCTGGCTAGGGCTGGGGTGTTCTGGGCGAGGGCTCAGCATGGGGTTCTGGCAGTGAGCTGGCTCTCAGGCCCCTGGGGAGGGCCAGGCAGGATGTGGAGCTGATGGGAGCTCCGCCCAGGCTGCCGTGACGGGGTGGTCTGCACCAGTACCCCCCGTCATGGGCCCCTCTGTGGCCCCCTGTCCAGAGGCAGATCCAGGAGGAGCCGCTGGATTCCCTCTCGAGCTCCGTGCGGCGCCAGGCCATGGAGACCCTGACGCAGCTGAGGTGCCCACAGCCCCTCTCTGTCCCCCGCCCCCCCCCGACCTCTTCCCTCTTCTCGGGGCCCTGCCTATCTCTTCTAGGCCTCTCCTCTGTACCCTGGACCCTGCTCCTGCGCCCTTTCCTGGCCACGCCCTCCACACCCACTCTCCCCACCTATCTGTCCCCTTGGGGATCTGAACCCCAGGCTGCCCCAGGCCCACACCCAGTGCCTCTGTCCCAGCCTCGCATCCTCAGCCCAAGCCCCTCCCCGACCGGGCACCTTGGCTTTCTGTCTCTCGGCAGTCACACCCAGCCCATCCTGGGTGTGCGTGAGCGGTCGGAGCTGGTGAACACGTGTGTGCAGAGCGTGTTCTCCCTGCCCTCTGTGCAGGCCATGCAGGAGAAGGACGAGGCCAAAGCTGAGGTCATCCAGGTGAGGCGGGGTCCTGTCGGGGAGGGGGCCCTCAGGGCCCTCGGTGCTGTCAGAGTGAGAGACAGGCTGGCCAGGAGCAGCAAAGGCCTCTGGGAGGAGCTGTGGGTCTGTGTCGCCTTGGGTCAGTCCCCTCCATCTGATAGCCGCCCCCTCCTGCCTATGAGCGGTAGGCTAGCAGAGGCCAATATGGCCAGAGTGGGTGGCCAGGGCAGGGAGGCCACAGGAAGGGGCTGAGACCAGAGAAGCAGAGCCTCAAACCGCTGGCATGGGCATCTTCCAACTTCTGGGGGTCCTCCCGGAGCAATGGGCAGAGGATGGGCGGACTGGGGCCAGTGGGGTGATGGAGCGAGCTGGGTCTCAGGTCAGGGTGGGGCGTCTTCAATCATGCTGAGTTAGAGGGTGGAACAGTAGGAGGGAGATGGTGCAAATGGATATAATCAAAGAATCTCACAAATACGTGCAGAATCGTCCCAGGGGTGAACGTCCCAGACAAGACAAATGCTCCGTGCTGCACAGAGCCTGGAGGGGGCATGGCCTAGATGGTGCCAGGGGTCACCACGCTGGAGCGGAAAGTGAAAGAAGAGCTAACTAGCTGGGCTGGCAGAAGGAGTGCTGCAGGCAGAGGCCTGTGGGCACGGGCTGCGTGGTGACCTCGTCCACGCGAGGCGAGAATTCTGAGAAGCGAGCCTGCACACACACACACACACACACACACACACACACACACACACACACACACGAGGCGGCTGGATTCTGGGGCGCATGCGCTGAGTGAAGACCTGCGAAAAATGCAGAGAATCTGCAGTGGGGGAGGACATGCCTGCTGCAGTTCCAGGTCTGGCCAGCAGAGGCCAGTGCCGCACAGCTATCAGCGGCCCTTGGAGGTCGTAGCTGGCAGTGAGGTTTGTGCGGTGGGGGTGTTGGAACGTTTTAGCTTCAGAGGGTGTGCGGACTATGGAAGCCTGGTCAGTGACAGCATAGCAGACAGACTGGGGGCCGGCAGAGGGAGGGGAGGCAAAGGAGAGAGGGTCTTCCCCGAGTGCATCAAACCCGCTGCCCAGCCTGTGTCTGCTGCCTGCGCCCGACAGACAATTCCAGGAAGGTGGTGTGGCCCAAGGATGTGGGCTCTGGACAGAGGAGGGAGGCTCCCTCAAAGGCAACTTGGAAAATCTGTTTGGGTCTAGGAGCAGCCCTGCGACGGAGAGTCAGAGTACTCCCCTGGGAGATGATGGACGTGAGGTTGACCCTGTCCTCAGCTAGCTCTCCTTGTCCTAGAGCCTTTCCCCTCCAACCCCTAAATCATTCCTTCTTTGTGGAACTTCTTTGTGGCACGAACGTGGACAAGTACCTCTTCGCTTGCAAAGTGAGAAAAAGTTTGAGGACAGAGTGATGGGGCTGTGCGTGCTGCCAGGCACGTGCTCCTGTGTCCCCTAGCAGGTCTCAGTACGTGCTATGCCTTTAAGGTGGGAGCTGCAAGCGCTGTGTCTCATTTCTCAGTAAGGAAGCTGTAGCCCTCAGGAGGGAAGCTATTTGCCCAATGTCAGGCATTCGCTTGCTCTCAGAGGTGGGGCCAGAAAGCAGCCCTCCTGGGTCCAAGTGCCCCCTCCCCTCCTGTCACACGCAGGGGTTGTCTGGGGCTGGCGTGGGCTCCGGGGCCCCCTAGCAGCCTGGGCTCCTCCTGTCCGCAGACACTCTACCATCAGACCCTGGACGCTCTGCAGAAGCTGCTCAATGCTCTCTTCATTGAGGACCCCACTCCGGCTGGGCTGAAGAGCATCTTGGAGGTGCGAGGGGTGGGGCGTGGGCTTCGGTGGAGAAGGAGGGGAGAGCGGGCATAGGAAAATGGGGAGCAGGCTAGGAGCAGCGGGGGGCTGCACCCAGGACTGGTTTGACTTCAGCATGTCCTCTTGGGCCTGCGCAGACTCCCACCCCTCCAAGCTCTGTATCCCCACGCAGCTGCAGCTGCCCTGGTGTCTCCACTCTCTCCACCTTGTCCTGTCTCTTTCTTTCTTTCTTTCTTTCTTTCTTTCTTTCTTTCTTTCTTTCTTTCTTTCTTTCTTTCTTTCTTTCTTTCTTTTTTTTTTTTTAATTTTTTGACAGGCAGAGTGGACAGTGAGAGAGAGAGAGACAGAGAGGAAGGTCTTCCTTTGCCGTTGGTTCACCCTCCAATGGCCGCCGCGGCTGGAGCACCATGCCTATCCGAAGCCAGGAGCCAGGTGTTTCTCCTGGCCTCCCATGGGGGTGCAGGGCCCAACCACTTGGGCCATCCTCCACTGCACTCCCTGGCCACAGCAGAGAGCTGGACTGGAAGAGGGGCAACCGGGACAGAATCCGGAGCCCCGACTGGGACTAGAACCCGGTGTGCCGGCGCCGCAAGGCAGAGGATTAGCCTAGTGAGCCGTGGCGCCAGCCTTGTCCTGGCTCTTTCTTCCATCCTCATTGCTCTCTGTCTTTTCCCTCCCTCCTCACTGACTGCCTTCTTCCGGTTTGGTTAGTGCTCATCTCGGTTCTTGGGACCCTGGCCCCTCCCCAAGCCCCAGGAAGAGGAGGGCCATGCTGAGTTGCCTATAGGCCCCTCCTGCTGACTGGCAAAGGCTGGCTTGTCCCCCCAGCGCCCAGCAGCAGGGGCTGGCAGCCAACGTCAGTTCTAAGTCTTGCCCTTGTCCCCACAGCCTCTGGGGCCCTGGATGAACTCTGGGAAGGCCCACGAGCGAGCGCGGGCTGTCAACAGCAACGTCTCTGTGCTCAACCACACGCTTCTGACCCTGCCCTTCTTTGTGAGTGACCCCTGGGAGGGACGGACTCCCTAAGGAGACGCCTGCAGCTCAGAGGGTGCTATTGGGGCAGACTGCCTGGGGCTGCTCACTGTATATAGCATGATTGAACCCCTAAGAGTCAATCCCTAAGACTGTGACACCCACAGATGTCCTCGGGGTTCCCGGCGCTGGGTGTCCTCCTGGGGAGGCTCATCCTCCGTATCGGAGACCCTGACGAGGAGATTGGCCGGGAGGCCCTGGACGGCATCATCATCCTCTATACCATCCTGGAACTGCAGAAACGTAAGCTCTCACGGCGGCAGGCTTGGGAGTCAGCTGGAGCCTTGGCTGCCCTAGGCACGGTTCGGAGTGGGAGGACACCAGCGCAGGGCTCGGTGGGGACCGTGGAGGCTGGTGGGAAGCCTTTGTCCCCACAGAACCAGGGGGCAGAGTCTGCCAACAAGCCCGTTTGGATATAAGCGATTCTTTCTGCCTGAACTCTAGCTCATCCTTTCAAGCTTCCAATGTGACTGTCACTTTCACATTTCCACGGCACCGTGTATGCCAGGTGTGATGGCCCAAATGTCTTGTTTTCTTGTCTCTCTTCCCCTCAGAAGAGGAGGGCAGGGCTGTGTCTTGGTCATGGCTGCTTTTCCAGGTCTGGTACATGGTGGGACTCAGTGGGCATCTGTTGATGTAGGAGGGAGAGCATTCGTACCTGCAGCTTCCGGGAGGGAGCTGCTGATGTGGGACGGCTGACACAGGTGCCCTTCGCTACTGCACCGAGAGCTGCACAGGCTCGGCTCTCTCGCCGCCTTCCTGTCTCCATTTCTCCAGAGTTCTCCCAGCTGGGCCCCAAACCCCAAGGAGCTTGGCTTTTTGTTTATACATCACTGTTTATGCTCCATATAAACTTTTTCTATACTTTTTATTTATACTCCACTGACTCTGGTAGCAGAGTGACCAGGGCGCATGACCTGGCTCCAGCCCTTCCTAGCCGTGTGACTTCAGGCAAGCACTTTGCTTATCTAGGCCCGGATCTCCTCATCCGTGAAAAGCGTATTCCAGAATGCATATCACGCGTAGGCTTTGTGAACTGTTCAATGAGATCGTAGGTGAGAGCACATATAAAGAAACCTGTGCCGTGTGGCGCAGTGTACGCACTTGTCAAACCCCATTCCCTGTCGCCATTCCTCTGACCTGCAGGGCGCCGAGTGGTGGCCCTGCTCTCCTTGATCTTTCGCATGGGGCCGGAGAGCTGGGCTCTGGGCTGTCATCCGCAGGGCTGGGAGCGCCTTGTGCCTCCTGAGTGAAGGTGCACAGTCGTCAGCCTCGAGGGGAGGAACGGTAATGACCGAGTTATCCAACACCTGGTTAAATTCAAACCCCAGATACATAAGGAATAACTTTTAATATAGCTAAGACACATTGCACCAAAACTTATTTGTCTACCTGAAGTTCAGCTTCAACTGGGTATCCTGTATTTTATCTGACGACCCTGGCCGACCCCGCACCGTGAGGTCCTGGAGCAGTGACATGGCTCCTAGAGGTCCCTCTGCCGTGGAAAGCAGCATGGCTAGGATTTGAGCCTAGGTCTGCTTAATTCTGGGTTTCATGCCCCTTCCCTGTCCAAACAGCACACAGTGGGTGCCTTCGTGGCCCTCTGCTGCACCTGTGTCTTGCATACCCGGAGGAGATCCAGGTGGGACCCAGACCAGGCTATCGCAAGGGCTGAGCAAGTGTTCCTGAGATATGTTACATTCATCAGAAGATGTGGCACCACCAGATGCCGGTGCTTTGAGGGATGCAGTAGTGAAAAAAGATGAAGGACGGGGCCAGCGCAGTGGCTCACTTGGTTAATCCTCCGCCTGTGGCACCGCCATCCCATATGGGTGCTGGGTTCTAGTTCCGGTTACTCCTCTTCCAGTCCAGCTCTCTGCTGTGGCCCGGGAAGGCAGAGGAGGATGGCCCAAGTGCTTGGGCCCTGCACCCGCATGGGAGACCAGGAGAAGCACCTGGCTCCTGGCTTCGGATCGGCACAGCGCCGGCTGTAGCTGCCATTTGGAGGGATGAACCAACGGAAGGAAGACCTTTCTCTCTGTCTCTCTCACTACTGATATCTCTACCTGTCAAAAAAAAAAAAAAAAAAAGATGAAGGAAACACCCCCTCCCCTTGGTAAGCTTGGGTTCTTGTTGTCAGGGAACAGTGAGCAAAACGAACAGTAACATGTACAGTAAGTCAGGTGGAGATAAGGACTAAAGCAAAAAGGCAGAGGAGGGGGTTGGGACTGCTTGGGGGTAAGGAGATTACAGTCCAAAGACGGTCTCATCCACTAGAGGATAAAATCTTAGAGCCACGCATGGCCGAGATGTGGGACAATAGGGACCCTCATTCAGAGCCAATAGGAACATCATGGCTTCCCACTGTGGCAAATGGCTCAACAACAGCTCCTGAAGCTGAGCCCATGCCTGTGCTACGGCTCGGCCTTTCCACTGCTAGGAGTGTAACGAACACGAGTGTAGAGAGATTTGCCGAAAGACACGCTCTCGAACGCTGACAGCTGCACCATGCAGAATGGCTGCCAGCCCCTGTCCATCACTGGTAGAACGGATGTGTATATTTTCATGTCCGCAGACCATGCAAATGGTATGGCATTAAGAATGAATAAAGGAATGAATGAATGAAGACCGGGTGCCGCCGTGTAGATACCTCTCATCCCCTGGCGTGTTTTGTGCAGAGGAAGCAGATCCAAAGGAGAACATAGTATACAAGTCCGTTTATGTTAAGTTCAAAAGCAGGAAACTCTATCCAGGGGTTGAGAAACCAGGCTAGCAGTTGCCCTGGGCACGGGAGTGGGACCGTGACCAGAAGGGACACCCAGGAGGGGCTTCTGGGATGCCGAGCGGGCTCTGGTTGCTGACCTGGCGCCGGCCACCTGGAGGTGTTCCCTGAAGGAACTGATTGCTCTGGTTCCGCAAGGTTTGGGCGCCAGGTTTACTGAGAAGTTAAAAAATGAACTCCAGGGTGGCCAGGCCTCGCTGAGAAGGTCCTCTCCTTGCAGGAGCCAGAGATAAGGAAGAGACCAACAAGAAGGAGCTGTATGAGAGCAACAAGCGCTTCCTGGGGCCCTACAACCCCGTCAGCCCGTGTCAGAACATCCTGCGTGTGATCGCGGTGACTGTCGGGCGGGGCGGGGGGCACCCCGGGCCTGTGCTGGAAACCTTCCCCCACCACACAAGCACGAGGGCGCCCTCCTGCAGGCGGTGCCAGGGCACGGTGGCTTCCTATCCCCCGATCCTCCCACTGTTCTGAGGGTAGGGCCCTCGTTGCCCCTAGTTTTGTAGCTCCAGGGAGCCAGGTGGGGTCTGGCCCTCAGCGGCAGGACCTCTGTGCCTCTGTTTCAGGAGTTTGGAGACTTCCTGGGGCCCCAGCAGGTGAAGGACCTGCTGCTGGCGGCCCTGGAAGGGCTGAAGGGCAGTGCAGAGGCGCGGGGGAAGGACTCGGGAGAGACGGTGCAGCTGGCCTCGGAGGTCACGCTCAGCTCCGTCCTGGAGTGGTACCGCCACAGGGCGCTGGAGGTGGTAAGGCCCGGGGCCGGGGGCTGGGCTGTCACTGGGGTCTGGCACACACGCTCCTGTCCCCTGCTGTCACGTGGGACAGCCCTGGCATCGTGGTGGGGCTGTGGGCTCCTGGAGCACCCGGGCGGGAACTGGCTGGCACTCCTGCCTTGCAGGTTTCTTTCTCTGACCATAGCTCGCAAAACTGCACTCCTGGCATGACTGGGACAGGGCAGGGTGGCAAAGGTCCTCTCTGCCACCACCACCCTGTCTCCCTTCCTGCTTCTGTCATTCCCTTCCCCCCATGTCTCCCTCCTGCCCCTCACGGCTGCCCTGGCTCTGCTGCAGATCCCGGAAATCATGCAGGGCATCTACGTGCAGCTGAGCCACATCCAGGAGCCCCGGGCCCGCGAGGTGGCCCTGCTGCCCGTCTCCCTCCTGGCCAGCTCCTTCATGACCGAGGTCGTGGTGGCCCTGCTCATGTGCCCCCTCCCGCTGGACAGGTACCAAGTGAGGGGGCTCCCAGTCACTGCATGTCCAAGGGTAGCAGCAGCCCCACCCTGAACTGGCAAACCTCCTCCTGCCCAGAGAAGCGTGTAGCCCTTCCAGAGTGCCCCTCCATGATCTGCAGGGCGTGTTCAACCACTGAGCACTGCTGGGTGTCAGTGCTGAGCCTGAGCCCGGTCGCTCCTCCTCACCACAGCCCCGTTCTACAGACGAGGAAACTGTTTCTTGCTGTGAGCACTCATCGAGCAAGCAACAGAGCAAGGACCTAAACTTAAGCTGACTGACTCCCAGCCTGGAGCCTGTTCAGTGATGTCGCTGAAAGCAGGCTGAGGGTGTGTCCTGACCCTGCTGGTGGTCTTGGGCAGCCTGCCTGCCCAGAGAGTTTTCTCCCATAGGCAGATGGAGAAAATGATCCCCATGTTCCCACCCAGAGAGCAGTCATGGCACAGCTGGGCCGGCGCATGGCCAGGCCTGGGACTGTGCAGGGGCGCCTCCTCCGCCATTGCCCTAAGGGAGCTCGTGGTGCCATGGGCCTGATGTGGCCTGTCTGGCCCAGGAAGGGCTCCCACAGCTTCTTTGGCTGATGGAAACAGTGCAGTGGGGGAGGCACACTGGGGAATGATTGTTTGAGAGTCAATGTAAAGGCTCTGTGTGCAGAGCTGTGCACCCGAGGTGTGCAGTAAGGACAGTGACGTTGTACGTAGAAACCAAGATGACCACTTGGGATGGAGAGGGCCCCACTGATCCCCACCCCCCCGCCAGTCCTCCTGCTTGCAAGAGAATCATTGTTTCTGATAGCACCACCTGCCCGGGGTGTGCTTCCTCCCACCACTAAATACTCAGACTCCCAGAGCCTCCCAGGGGGCACACTTGGCATCACAGTCACCCAGTGTCAGGAGCCCCTCCTTGCAGCTGTCCCAGGAAGAGCAGGCACAGGACTGAGGCCAGCTGGGCACCAGGGTCTGGCATTGGAGGAGCGAGGGCCTCCTTAAAGTTTGCGCTGCCTGGCTCCCTTTCCTTACCCTGGTGTTGGCCCTGGGTCTGGAAACTGGTGTCTTGGGCTTGAGTGTGAGGGAAGACAGTGCGGGCGCTGAGCTGGCCAAATTGGCACAGGCCTCACCAAGACCGGTATCTCTCAGCACGACTCTGGAGGGTTTGCTTCCCTGGTGCCCACAGAGGCAAATCCAGTTGTAGGAGTCCCAGGTTCCTCAACGCTTATGGCTCTCATCTGCCCCTAGTGGTTCTTGGAGTTAACGTACAGCTCCTCCCTGGCCCGATGCAATGTACCCATTCACCACCTTGCTTGGTGTGAAGCGGTCATTTTTGCTGGAAGCAATGTTGCCTAGCAACATAGTTGACACCTATCTTTATCAGGTTTCTAGGGGAAGGTGGGGGAAGGGCTTTGTTAATGAACCCTTTAGCACACAGCCCGACCAGTACTTTCTGCTCTCTGTGATGGCAGTGCTGCAGGCTGGCATTTTGTGGGCCTGATGCTTTGGCCGGCTGGGGTGCTGCCTTCTGTGGAACAGTGGTGGGCGTTCCCTGATGCAGGCGAGGAAGGCAAGATCCAGGCCCCAAAGCGGGTGGTGGCCTCGGTTCTTTTGCTCCTTGGCGTAGAGGAAGGAGCAAAGGCTTGGGAGGCAGCAGATCTGGTCACGTCTTGGCCCCGCAGCTCCTTGTACCTCTCTCAGCCTCCATTCCACATCTGCACATTGCACATAACAACACCCACCTTGAGGGTCATTGTGAGAACCCAGCGGCCTTGCATGTCCCCGGAGACTTGCCTGCCGCCTGGTCTACAGCAGCTGCTCCATAAATTTTTGCTGAAGTAGAACTCGTGTGTGAAGCACCTGGGAAATAGGATTTCAATCACTGTTAGCCCCCTGCCTCTGGGGCCGGGCTTCCTGGAGCATGCCTTGCTGGCTTGCCCGTGGATGCCACTGCACTGGCTTCCTAGCTTGCCCCTTGAGAAACCGTCTTGGGGCTGGTTGGGCCCCCACTGCCCTGGTGCCCCTTAACCCCATCACTCCACCACTTGGCAGCAACGGGGCAGAGATGTGGCGGCAGCTGATCCTGCGCAAGCCCAGCTGTGACGTCCGAGACCTCCTGGACCTGCTGCTGACCAGCCTGAAGGAGAAGCCCGTCACTAAGAAGGGCCGGGCCTCCATCGTGCCTCTCGCGGTGAGGACCCGGCTGCCTGCTGCCACCACTGTCTCTCCACCCGCGCCCGCTCCTCCTTCCCGCCAGGCTCAGTGCACCTGACTTCCTGTCCCTCCCCGCCCACAGCCAGCAGCGAGCCAGCGGCCTTGCACTTGGCCAAGGACTTGCCCTCGGGGTTCTTGCTTGTGATTCAGTGGACCTTAGTGTCAGTGCCCCCTGTGGTGACAGCAGCAGCCTGGGATGGTGGAAACGGAACCCGAGGCAGGCAGCCCCAGACCTTAGTCTAGGTCCTGATTTTGCTGTGTTACTATTTTGTGCCCTGGGTAGTCACTGCACCTCCCTGAGGCCCAGTCTCTCCTCCTGGAAAGAGAAACAAGAGTATGGGCCCCGCATGGCAGCTGGGGAGGTTAAAGGAAATGACTCGTTCCTTCGTTCAGGTGATACAAATTGGCGAAGTGCTCCTGGCCGCCTGGCCAAGGGCGGCTCCTGGTCAGGAAGCCTCTTCTCTGCCTGGCCCCACACCAGCGTGGCCCACGTCAGCTGGCTGCTCCCGCTCCTGCCCCTCCAACCTGTACCAAAGCCCAGAGTCTGCTCCCCTCAATAGCTCCAGTGTAACCACTTGTGTTGCCAGGCCCTGCGCCCCACGAGAGCCTCGCCACACTCCAGGGTCTCCTTGCTCACTTTCTGCCAGCCTCGCAGGTCTTGGTCCAGACGTCATACCTCTGCTGTGTTATCTTCTGTCACAGGGCCTTTGCACATCTGTTCCCTCTACCTAGAATGGTCCCCACCAAATTAACTTCTACTCATCCCTCAGCACTCCTTCAGGCCCTGTGCGCCTGACCTGCCATCCCCAGCCTCCATGCTGGTGGGTGAGATGGGACCTGAGGGGCCAAGTGTGAAGGTCAGAGCCAGGCCAGACCTGGAGTTAGAGGGACAGATGGAGAAGCTACCCAAGGTCACCCAGCCTCGAGCGCAGGGCTAGGACTTGAGCCAGGCTCCCGCTTCAGGCTGGCACTTGCTTCTCCCTGCTGCTGGGGCGAGGGCAGTGTAGTTTAGCAGCCCAGGGCGAGGAGCCCGGCCTGGCACCCCCTCCCCCCATACTCTCTGTGCCTGTGCTGTCAAGGAGGATGGAGCAGGGAGCAGGACAACAGAAAACCTGGGTTTGAGTTCCAGCTCTGTCCCCAGGGGTCTGGGTGATCCTGGCAGTCACTTCACCCTCTTCACCTGCAAAATAGGGTCAGGCCTTTTCACCTCTCCCTAAGTGGGATGGGGCGGTGGCGGGGGGGCCTCCACTGCGATTCTTCCAGGGTTTCTAAGGTCCCAGCCCTGGGCCATAGCTAAGAGAGGGGGCTTTCATTACTGGTCTGGGGCAAGACCCACTAGAGAGCCAGGGGTCAGGGGCCTGGAGGTGGGGCTGGGCACCCTGCCCCAGGCAGGAGAGCCGGAAAGGTGGGCCCACAGCACCCCCAGCCTCCCCTTTGCCCCCAGGCAGCCAGCGGCCTGTGTGAGCTCCTGTCCGTCAACAGCTGCATGGGCCGGGTGAGGCGCATCTACCCGCAGCTGCTCCTGGCACTGCTCATCCAGGTGCATTACCACATTGGCCTCAACCTGCCTAGCCGTGCGGCTGCCCACAAGGACGCCAAGAGTGCCAAGAGCCAAGCACAGCCTCCTGTCTTCGTCCCTGTGCGGTACGCTCCTTTCCCTCTCTCTATCCTGCTAGCTGGGGAGGGCGTGCGCCAGCGAGGGCAACCAGGGAGAGACAATGTGTGAGCACCTGCTCTGTGTGCCTGCCACTGGGCTGAGAGAATAACCCTCCCCCAGGAGTTCCCCTCCCCCAGGAGCTCCCCCTCCCCCAGGAGCTCCCCTCCCCCAGGACCCAGGAGCTCCCCTCCCCCAGGACCCAGGAGCTCCCCTCCCCCAGGAGCTCCCCTCCCCCAGGACCCAGGAGCTCCCCTCCCCCAGGAGCTCCCCCTCCCCCAGTACCCAGGAGCTCCCCTCCCCCAGGAGCTCCCCTCCCCCAGGACCCAGGAGCTCCCCTCCCCCAGGAGCTCCCCTCCCCCAGGACCCAGGAACTCCCCTCCCCCAGGAGCTCCCCTTCTCCAGGAGCTCCCCTTCCCCAGGAGCTCCCCTTCCCTAGGAGCTCCCCCTCCCCCAGGAGCTCCCCTCCCCCAGGAGCTCCCCTCCTCCAGGAACTCCCCTCCCCCAGGAGCTCCCCTTCCCCAGGAGCTCCCCTTCCCCAGGAGCTCCCCTCCCCCAGGAGCTCCCCTCCCCCAGGAGCTCACAGCCATTGAAGTTCTTATCCTCCACCCCTAGAGTTTGTATTTTTAAAAAGAATTTATTTAATTTATTTATTAATTTGAAAGGCAGGCTGATGGAGAGAGAGGGAAGGGGAGAGATAGAGAGACCTTCCATCTACTGCTTCACTCCCCAGATGTCCAAAACTATCTGGGCCAGGCTGAAACCAGGAGCCAGGAGCTCCATCCAAGCCTCCCATGTGGATGGCAGGTACTTGGGCCATCTTCCTCTGGCTTTCCAGGCACATTAGCAGGGAGCCGGATCAGGAAAGGAGTTAGCCAGGACTTGAACTGGCGCTCTGATGTGGGATGTGGGCATCCCAACAGCAGCTTAACCCACTGCACCGTAGCACCTGCCCTGAGATGCTGTTTGCGTCAGGTGTGTGTCATCTCATTGTCAGTAAGTATTGGAATAGGCAACATGCGCCTTGGTGCAAGCTGGGAAGGCATTCTCCATGCCTGTCCCGTGTGTGTCTGTTTTCCATCACTGTAATCAAACACCTGAAGCCGAACCACTTTATAAAGAAGAGAGGTTGATTTTGGTTCACAGTTCTAGTCCAAGGACAAGGGCCTGCACCTGGGGGCGGCTTTCCTGCTGGTGGAGACCCAAGGTAGCTCAGGTATCGTCTGGCAGGGCGGGAGAGTGTGTGTCTCCTCTCTTGTTCAGTCCTGGGGGCCACACCCTGGTGACTGGAACACAATGGCATTAAGTGCCCACCCTCCTAATACCTCACAGTGGTGCCAGGGTCTAATACAGAAACCTGTGGGGGAGACCCTCCCTTCATACCACGGTATGCCACCTCCCCGTGACCTTGCCCAAAGACCCTGTTCTTCCATGCCCTTCCGGAGATGGCCTATGCAGGGATTAGAGCTTGCACTTATATTCTCTATTTTTTTTAAAGATTTATTTTTATTTGAAAGATAGAGTTACAGAGAGGTACAGAGAGAGAGAGAGATCGAGATCCTCCATCCTCTGGTTCACTCCCCAAATGGCTGCAATGGCCGAGCTGAGCTGATCCGAAGCCAGGAGCTTCTTCCAGGTCTCCCATGCGGGTACAGGGGCCCAACCACTTTGGCCATATTCCACTGCTTTCCCAGGTGCATTTAGCAGGGAGCTGGAATGAAAGTGGAGCAGCTGGAACTTGAACTGGTGCCCACATGGGCTGCTGGCATTGCAGGCTGGGGCTTTAACTTGCTGTGCCACAGCACTGGCCCCTATATTCTCTATTTTTTACACCAGAGGTAGCGTACCTTAGCTGGCTACACATTTTTGCTTTTATCACATGCTGTATCTTGGAAATCTCTGCTGCAGAGCTGTCTGTGGTGTTCTAGGTACAGAGTTCCAGTGCACCTACTGCATCCAACCAGGCTCCCCTGCCACCCGCACTCTCAGCCAATGCTACAGCCAGTTTTTCTGCTTTCTGCACATGCGTGATTGTGTATGTGGGAAACTTCCTGAAAGCAGAATGGGCACAGCAAAAGGCTGCTGCATAAAGTGTGAGGGTGGCATGGCAATGCATGCTGGGAAGGTTCTCATCCATTGAGTGAGGAAGAGGAAGAGGAAGAGGAAGAGGAAGTAATTCCCGAAGCGCCTGGCACACCAGGGGGACCCCCACCTACAGGGTCCAGAGTGTTCACTTCCCTGCACTCTGGCCAGCACAATGGGTCCTGAGAGAGTTTTATCTTTGCCAATCTGAGCTGAAGTTTTAGTTTGCAGTTCTCATCTGAGTGAGGTCAAGGTTTTGACGGCATTTGTGTTTCCGTTTCTGTGAACAATCTGTTCTTGGCGCTTGCCCAGTTTCATATAGGGCTGCTGGGGATGTTTCTTAGTGATATGTGAGAGCTCTTTATATATGAAGGCAACAGACTGGGCATTTTTATTTCCGTGTGTTGATCTCTTAACCTGCAATTATTTTATTATTTTGTCTTCTTTTGTCCTTAAGAAACTTCAGCTTTCTTGTTTTTAAAAGATTTTATTTATTGGCCGGTGCCGCGGCTCACTAGGTTAATCCTCTGCCTGCAGTGCCGACACTCTGGGTTCTAGTCCCAGTCGGGGCGCCGGTTCTGTCCTGGTTGCTCCTCTTCCAGGCCAGCTCTCTGCTGTGGCCCAGGAAGGCAGTGGAGGATGGCCCAAGTGCTTGGGCCCGGCACCGCATGGGAGACCAGGAGGAAGCACCTGGCTCCTGGCTTTAGATCGGCACAGCGCTGGCTGAGGCGGCCATTTAGGGAGTGAACCAATGGAAGGAAGACCTTTCTCTCTGTCTCTCTCTCTCACTAACTCTGCCTGTCAAAAAAAAAAAAAAAAAAGATTTTATTTATTTATTTGAGAGGTAGAGTTACAGAGAGAGGGAGAGAAAGAAAGATCTTCCATCCACTGGTTCACTCCCAAGATGGCCACAATGGCCAGAGCTGGGCAGATCCGAAGTCAGGAGCCAGGAGCTTCTTCCAGGTCTCCCATGCGGATGCAGGGACCCAAGCACTTAGGCCAACCTCCGCTGCTTTCCTAGGTTATAACAGAGAGCTGGGTTGGAAGAGGAGCAGCCGGGACTTGAACTGGTGCCCATGTGGGATTCTGGCACTGCAGGCAAAGGCTTAGCCCACTATGCCACAGTGCCAGCCCCCAGAAACTAGCTTTCTACACAGCCAAGTTTCTCCGTCCCTTCCTCTCTGACTCCCGTTGTGTGTTAGGCTCACACATTGTGTTCAGAAGGTCAGAGAGAAAGCAGCTGCACAGCTGGGCTTGGTGTCAGAAGGCCCTGGGTTCAAGTCGATGACTTCGTGCTTTGTACTCTGGGTGAATTGAGTTCACCCCCTTGGCAGTTGATTTTCTTGCCCATGAAAGTGAGTGGTTCCTGCCCCAGAGCAAAATCACAAGGGCCAAATAGGACGGTGTCCCAGTGCTACACCACGTGCTGGCCGTGTGGCCTGGTTCTGGGCCCCCCCACGCTCCTAAGTGCTGCCTGGGGAGCAGCGCCCTTGACTCAGAAAGCTGGGGGTGGATAACGCTGGGCAAAACCAAACAGGAGGAAAGGAAGGGCGCGGGCACATCGTGGGAGAGGTCTCTCTGTGGAGTGACGCAGGCCGCGGTTTCCAGCATGGACAGCTTGGCTCCGCCAGGACCACAGGAGGGGCTGGAAGAGAGCCTGCATGGCCATCTCAGCTCTGTGTCATGGAAACACCTGGGAAGCAGAAAAAGTAGAGGCGGGTGAGGTCCAGGCTGAGGGGACCAGAAAGGCCACAGGCGCTGCCTGGCTGCAGTGGGCTGAGCAGTGCCCCCCACCGAAGATATGTCTGCCTGGAACCTGTGACTGTGACCTTGTTTGCAGAAAGGGTCTTTGCAGATGTAGTTAAGGATCTCAGGGTGAGAGCATCCTGGATTAACCGGCCAGGCCCTGCATCCAATGGCAGGTGTGCACAGGAGAAGAGAGGAAACAGAGACCCGAGGGTGCAGGCTGTGAAGATGCACACATGGGGTGAGCAGTGAGGCTGCCAGCAGCAGAAGCTGGGAGGGGTGAGCCAGATCCTCCCCTAGAAGCGTGAGAGGGTGCAATGCCTAGACTTTGGCTATCTGGCCTCCAGAACTCAGAGAGAATACACCTCTATTGTTTGAAGCCACCCAGTCCTTGGTGATTTGTATAGCAGCCAGCAGAAGCCAACACACCAAGATATGGCCCCCTCCATGGGCCCAGGGGAGTCTCTGGAGTTCCAGCCTCCAGTGAGAAGATGGAGAGGCCCTCAGTGCACACAGGGGCGGCGGGGGGCACCACAGGGAGTGCCAAGTTAGCTCTGCAGACACCAGCCCCGCTGCCCCTGGTGTGGGTTTGGAGGATGCACTGCTGCACCTGACCCCCAAACACCGCCTGGAAACAGCTCCAGGCTGCATTCCTGGCCCGGCCCCCCCAGCCCCGGGCAGCAAGAGTCAATGAGAATTCAAGGCGTCCCCTGCTCCAGGTCACTGAGAAAACCTCCAGGAAGGGGGACACTTGCAGTGTGGGGCTTTGGGAGCTGAAAAAGACATCGCACCACCACCACCTTCTTCCCCAAAGCCTCAGTCCGGCCTCTGCAGAAACTTCAGCCAAGTTCCTCAGTCCCTTCCCCTCTGACTCCTGTTGTTTGGGCCAGTTACAGGTATAGCTTTGGGAAGGGCCTGGGGATGGTCAGTTTTGTCCAAATCTGGAGCCCAACTGAGGAAGTGAGGGCAAAGAGTGGAGAGGAGACGCTAGGAATGCTGCGGATTTGTGCTCGGAAGCCCGGCCTGCGTGTGTGCTCCTCCCTGTGAGCTCTGTGCTGTCCCCAGGCCACTGCTCCTGGGACCTCAAGTCACGCACAGAGCATGCACGGGCGGCTCGTGCTGCCTGTGTCGAAGGTGCTAATGCTGGAAGTGGAAGAGAATAGCTTTTCTTCTCCAAACAGAAGCCTTGACATCTCAGCTGAGTCACTCAGCACTTGACCTTGGAGGGACATGGGAGAGCTTGGACAGCTCCTGGGGCCTGCTTCCCTCTCCTTGCCTTTGTGTGTAACCCTGGATGCGGGAGACCTTGCTGCTAGGGGAGGTCACCAACAGCACAGTTTCCAAGAATCAGTACGGAGGCTGAATGCTCCCCATGGCCCCGGCCTCTGGGCCACACAGGATCCTTGCCACCGAAAAAGCAAAAGCATGAAACTGAAGAACAATCCTAAGGATTAACCAATTCCTTTTTTTAAACAATATTTATTTTATTTATTTGAAAGACAGAGTTACTGAGAGAGGTAGAGACACAGAGAGAGATCTTCCATCCATTGGTTCACTCCCCAGATGGCCAAAACGGCTGGAGCTGTGCCGATCTGAAGCCAGGAGCCAGGAGCTTCTTCCAGGTCTCCCACACAGGTGCAGGGGCCCAAGGACTTGGGCCATCATCTACTGCTTTCCCAGGCCATATCAGAGGGCTGGATCTGAAGAGGAACAGCCGGGACTAGAACTGGCACCCATATGGGATGCCAGTGCTTCAGGCCAGGGCTTTAACCCACTGCACCACTGCACCACTGCGCCAGCTACAGGATTAACCAATTTCCAAAATGCTTGGTCTGGAATCATGAGACCCCACCCCCACCCCATCCCACCCCCAGTCCTCAGTGTCACCTGGATGTGTGCGTCCACACAAGAACATCGTAAACTCTCCAAGCAAATGTTTAGGCTTCCGGAAAACTTCGTTGCCATGTAAACTTTACTCCACACACTCAGTTTTTATCTTAGTCAAGGTTTGCAGAGCCACAGAGCTCCCTCTGAGATTCGCTTTGCTTGCATGCGTGAACACCCAGTGCCTGGCCAGGCACACGGTAGGATGCCAGGAAGTGGCAGTGCCCTAGGGCAGCGCTTCCTGAGCTCACGCTGCAGCCCTGGTCAGCCCCCAGCGAGAGAAGCTCCCCAGGGGCTTCTGCTGGGCACCCAGTTTGGGAATTACACTTTCTGTGTTCTGAAAGGAAAGAGGCCCTCCCTCTCCCCCAGTGAATAAGGCTCAGGAGAAATGGAGGGGCAGGCAGGGATTGAGGGGTGAGCTCTGCTTCTGTTCCTCTACCTGTTCTCAGAGCCAAGGTTATGTGTGAAAGGCCACCTTTGGTGGACACACCGACCACCCCAGTCTCACCATTAACACGGTAGAGAGAAGCTTACGAGCCTGGGCTGTGGCCTCGGTGGGAGAGGCCGGGTGGAGGGAGGCCTGGCCTGCAGGTGCACTTGAGGGGTCTGCGCCCTTGTCTTGGCAGCTGGGTGGTGAAGGTGGTGAAAACCCTACTGCTGAAGATGGGCTGCTCGTACGAGGCCACCTTTCTGGAGGACCAGGGGGGCTGGGAGCTCATGGGGCAGGCAGAGAACCACCACCGAGGAGTGTCACTGCTGGCAAGGTGAGCCCGGGCCCTCGGGGTGGGAGGCGGGGGCCCCGTGGAGCTGCCCACAGACCTGGGTTGCATCCCTCTCGCCCTTTGCCTGTTGCCTCTTCTCTGCCCAGGAGGTGGATCATACACATGTGAGAGATGGAACTTAAGTACCATGAATTTCATCCCCATACTAATATAGAAAGAGCTGCATAACCTAGTACTTGTAAGTGTGGCCTTGGAAATGGCACGCCTGCATCTGGATCCCCGCTGAGCTGGGGCAAGCTGCCTCTGCCCGTCGCCAGCTCTCCATTCTGCCTCAGGAGCAGCGAAATGACGAGGCTCACCTCCGAGGGCCAGGGTGGGAAGACAAAGCCCTTGGAAAGCACCAGGCCACAGATTGGCTTTGACTAGCATTATGGTGACTGGCGGGGCACTTTGTGTAGTAGCACCCAAAGGTGCAGAGAGGGCCAGGCAGGACCCCAAGGTCACACAGCCAGGAAGCAGCAGAGCTGGGGAATGGCCTCTGGCCCAGAGCGGAGCTCTTCCCCTGACCACGCACAGCCTCCCGTGGGGCCGTGGAGGATGCACCTTGATTCCGGTGCTGTGACTCCCACAGGAGGGCCTGCTGCTCAGCCCTGCACTGAGCACCCAGGATCTCCCTGGGGGTCTCAGCACGCCACCCCCTCTGCTGAGCAATCCCTGTGCTCTAAGCATCGTGCAGAGGTGTTATGTGGTGATCCAGGCCAACCCTCACCAGGACTAATGAAACAGACCATTCCTATCCCAGTGTTCCACACGAGGACCTGGGAGATGGTAAGTGACGGCCCCAGATCACACCGCCGGTGCTGGGACCCAGCTGTCTCCTTCTAGGCTGCCTGCCTGTCTGTGGCCGTGCCTGGCTGGATTTGCTGGTTCAGGGAGCACGTGACTTGAGCACACTCAGAGTCATCGGCAGGGCCTGGCAAACGCTGGCTGCTGCCCCTCCCCTGCGTGTCTGGATTGGAGGCCTGAGAACATGCATTTCTTTTTTTTTTTCTTTTTCTTTTTTTCTTTTTTGACAGGCAGAGTGGACAGGGAGAGAGAGAGACAGAGAGAAAGGTCTTCCTTTGCCGTTGGTTCCCCCTCCAATGGCCGCCGCGGCTGGTGCACCGCGCTGATCCGATGGCAGGAGCCAGGTGCTTTTCCTGGTCTCCCATGGGGTGCAGGGCCCAAGCACTTGGGCCATCCTCCACTGCACTCCCTGGCCACAGCAGAGAGCTGGCCTGGAAGAGGGCAACCGGGACAGAATCCGGCACCTGGACCTGGACTAGAACCCGGTGTGCCGGCGCCGCAAGGTGGAGGATTAGCCTAGTGAGCTGCGGCGCTGGCCGAGAACATGCATTTCTAACAAGTTCCCAGGCAGTGCCGATACTGCTAGTTGCTTGGGTGGCTTAATAGAAGGAGCGAGGCAGCTGGACTGGGGAGCCCTGGGGCTCCAGCTCTGCCACTTTCCAGCCCTGTGACCTGGGGTGGTTCGTGCTCAGAGCCTCTGTTTTCGGCATCTATGAAATGGGGGTAATGACAGGAACCTGCTCTGAAGGGAGGAAGTGGACCGTGTGGCTGCCACCTGCGGCTGTGTGCGTGGCTCTCACATCCCCTCTTTCCTGTTTCTACCTCCTGAAAGGGCGTGTAGCCTGGGCTCTTTGATTGTCTTACGATTTGCTCTGTGCTCTTGGGCAAGTCACTTGCTCATTCTGGGTCTCTGTGCCTCTGTGAAAGGAAGCGGTTCAACTAGAGGGCCTCTTGTGGGAAACCCGGTGCCCTGGCGTGGGGCCCCCACTCAGCAGGCCCCTCCCCCCGGGCTGGAGAGCCTGAAGGGACTGCTCGCCCTTCCCACCCCAGGGCCATGGTGCACTACTCCTGCCAGGAGCTGTGCCGCATCCTCTACCTGCTCATCCCACTGCTGGAGCACGGTGACGAGAAGCACAAGATCACGGCCACGGCCTTCTTTGTGGAGGTACTGACTGGGCTCCAGGCGCAGGGCGGGCTGCTCACAGGCCTCTGTCCACACCACTGTGCGGACGGCACCTTTCAGCCATCAAAACCTTTCCAGGAACATGGCTGCCCTGAATGGGGACTCCCCATAAGCCCCCCAACCCACCGCCTTCTCCCCTCCTCTCTCCAGGCTTCCATCCCCTTCCTCTGCCCAGGCTGCCCCGGTGCCCAGGCAAGCACCACCTTTGTTGGGTGCCTCTGTGTGCCAGGCACCAGAGAGACAAGCCTGAATTTGACACCACCGTGCCTCGAGGAATTCTTGGTGTGGCAGGGGACACAGAAGCCACCCTGGTGCTGGTGTTCGTGGGTGCTGGGAGTGACGAGTTAGGGGAAGTTGGCAGGGGCGATTCAGTAGCAGATGCAATGGTTTCTGGCTATGGACCCAGGCACGTTCCTGAGCTTTCCACATGCTGATTCACTTCACCCTCCCACTGATCCCCCTCAGGTAGTTCTCACGCCCTGATGGGGAGAAGGAAGCGGAGGGCAGGTTGAAGTAGCTTTCCCCCGGCTACGCCTCTCAGATGGCAGATTCAGGATTCAAACTCAGACATCTGAGCTCTAAGTTCTCCCTCCCCCCTTCTCTCTCTCCCTCTCCCCGCCCCACCCCCTTCCCTCTTTCTCTTTTTAAAAACTTATTCATTTGCTTGAAAGTCAGAGTTACAGACACACACGCACACACACACACAAACACACACACACATCGATCTTCCATCCACTGGTTCACTCCTCAAATGGCTGAAACAGCCAGGGCTGGGCCAGGCTGAAGCCAGGAGCCAGGAGCTCCATTTGGGTCTCCCACAGGGGTGGCAGGGGCCCAGTCACTTGGGCCATCCTCTGCTGCTTTCCCAGGTGCATTAGCAGAGAGCTGGATGGGAAGTGGAGTCAGTGCCACTATGAGATACCGTGCTGCTCCTCAGTCTCTCTTTGGTCTTTTAAGAAATTGTGGTAAAATAGACCCAACATAAACCTCGCCATTTTAGCCATTCTTATGCGTGCAGTGGCATTCAGTGTGTCCACATTGTGTGCAACCGTCCCCTCCCTCCATCCCAGCGTTTTATCTTCCCCGCCCAGAACAGTGTGCCCTCTGACCCCTCACTCCCTACTCCCCCTTCCCCACCCGGCACCTTTATTCTACTTCCTGTCTCTATGACATTCCCTGTCCTAGGGCCCCCACAGATGTGGGCTCATACACTATTTGTCCTATTCTGGGTCTGGCCATTTCACTTGCGATGCCTCCAACTTTTCCCTGAGCTGTAGCACATGTCAGAACTGTGTTTTAAGGCTGAACAATGTTCCAGTGTACGGACACTCCACATCGCTCATCCACTCGCCCGCTGGTGGCCATTTTAGAACTCACTCTCTTAATCACCTGATGGTTGTCACTTGGGGAGGTCCAGGCCACTTATCAGGATCTGTAACAGGGAGCTCAGAGTCAGGCTCTCACTGGTGGGCATTGGGGCGGTCTCCGGGCTGAAGCTCTGGGTAGGGGCTGAGCCTACCACGTATCCAACATGCACCCCCCAGGACGGGGGAAGCCACTGGGAGTCATTGCTGTCTGTTCTCTCAGCTCCTCCAGATGGAGCAGGTGCGGCGGATCCCCGAGGAGTACTCTCTGGGGCGGATGGCAGAAGGCCTGGGCCACCGCGACCCCATCATGAAGGTGCTGTCCATCAGAGGCCTGGTGATCCTGGCCCGCAGGACTGAGAAGGTGCGTGGAAAGGACTGAGAAGGGCCGGCCCTGGGCTGGAGACCGGGAGGAGATTGGTCATCCCCATGGTTCAGAGGCTGGGGGCTGGAACGAGAGCCCATTTCTATCTCAACCTCAGTGGTTCCATATGCAAAATTGGTATGGCTTAATAATTCCTAAATATGCTATTCTTTGTTCAATAGTTTGTATTCCAAGTTGTTTGCAGTAATCCTAAAGGTGATGAGTGTAAGAACAGCATGGGTGGCAGAATTATTCCCACTTCACAGATCAAGAAACTGAGGGCTAGATGGTACATCATTTGCACTTTAAAAAAGTGCTTTGTTTTTCTCTCCCAGGCACTGCTGCAGCTCATTATGTAGCCAGGGTGCAGGGACAGGACATAGGGAGCTAACAACACAGGGTACCATCCGCCTGGTTCCAGGGAGGGGACCAAACAACAAAGGAGCGAGGCCAGGGAGGGCTTTAGGAGCTTGAGCGGGGGCTTCCAGGCAGGGGGATGGCATAGGCAAAGGCCTGGGGGTGGGATTGGGCCATTAAGTTCATCTCAATGGCTCTGAGGCCGGGTCTCCCACCTGCTAACCCAAATGCTCCTGGCCCACAGACGGCCAAGGTGCAGGCCCTCCTGCCCTCCATGGTGAAAGGGCTGAAGAGCATGGATGGGATGCTGGTGGTGGAGGCAGTCCACAACCTGAAGGCCATCTTCAAGGGGCAGGACCGGAAGCTGGCAGACAGCTCTGTCTACGTGGAGATGCTGCAGGTCCTGCTGCCCCACTTCAGTGACGTAAGGAGTCCCGCGGGGAGGGGGGCAGCAGGGATTGACCCAGTGGCACATGGTGGGGTGGTCCTTCGCCGTGCTGGGAGCAGGAATACGTGCCACGCCCTACTGGGAGCTGGGCGGGGCCAAGCCAGCCCAGGGGAATGGCCCCTCATTCCAACTGGTCTATGTTCGCACAGACGCTTCCTTGTTTAACTGCCTCTCATGGAGGGAGCTCTTCTCGGTAACCGAGGCTCCCTGGAGAAGGTGTCTCAGGGCGATGGGTCCACATATTTTTTTTCCTGGTCCCAGCAGAAGGGAGTACTTTTCTGCTAGGAACTCAGGCGCCGTTCAGGTTAGTTGTTCTTTGGCTGGGAACAGGGACGAAACCATCAGACGAGGCTTGGGTGAGGGCGACAGGGGTCCCGAGCAGCCCCACTGTGGCCTCGGCTGCTCTTCACCTGCGAGTCCCTGGTGCCCTGTGGGCCCTGCAGAATGAGGGTTTCCGGGAGGAGAAGCGCCACTGAGCCTGCGGTCTGCACCAGGCAAGAGAGGACGTGCGCTCTTCCTGCATCAACCTGTACGGGAAGGTGGTCCAGAAGCTGCGCTCGCCGCGCACGCAGGCCGTGGAGGAGCAGCTGCTTAGCACCTTGGTGCCTCTGCTACTCATCATGCAGGAGGGCAACGCCAAGGTGGGCCAGGTGAGTGTGGCGCACCGGCTTCCAGCTTCCGGCTCCCCCTGCGGCTGGGCCTCCCTGCAGGGAGCAAGCCGGGGCGGCCAAGCACGGCTGCAAAGTGACTCCTGCCACGTGTTTCCAGACACCCCACACAGCAGTCTTCCTCCCCACAGCCATCCCTGCCTGTTTTCAAGGGGAATGGGTTTTCCTCAACCTAGCTTGTTTTCTTTAAAAAAAAAAAAATTATTTCATTTACTTGAAAGGAAGAGAGAGAGAGAGATTGATTCTGTTTGCTGGTTCACTCCCCAAATGGCATCAAGGCCAGACCAAAGCCAGGAGCCATGAACTCCCTGGCCATCTCCTGCTGCTTTCTCAGGCGCATTAGCAGGGACGTGGGTTTGAAACAGAGCAGCCAGGACTTGAACCGGTGCCTGTATGGGAGGCTGGGAGAAAGGCAGCGGCTTAACCCGCTGCACCACAGCGCCAGGTCTCCACAGAGCCAGTTCTCACATGTTCTTTTTGTTGTCCACGTTATGGCCGCCCTTGAACTGCATGGCTCTGGTGTTCTCTTCCTACTGCCTCCCCCAGAAATGCGTGAAGACCCTGTTCCGCTGCTCCTACTTCATGGCATGGGAGCTGCCGAAAAGAGCCTACAGCCGGAAGCCCTGGGACAACCAGCAGCAGGCCGTGACCAAAATCTGCAAGTACCTTGTGAGTGCCCCTGGGCTGCGGAGGGGGCTCTGTCCTCCCCTCTGCCCTCACCTTGTGCCCCGTGCTGGCCGCCCGGCTCGGCTCCCACCTCACAGTCTTGGCTCCAGCACTGCCATCTCTACCCCCGATTCCTCTCCCCACTGCCAGGCTCGCTCTGGTGGCTCCCGGCACTCTTCCCCAAAGGCCCACATTGTTCCACGTGCAGCACTGTCTCTTCCAAACTTATGGCACTCCATTTCTTTCTTTTTAAAAAGATTTTATTTATTTTTATTTGAGAGGTAGAGTTAGATAGAGAGAGGGAGAGACAGAGAGAAAGGTCTTCCATCGGCTGGTTCACTCCCCAGATGGCCACAATGGCTAGAGCTGGGCTGATCTGAAGCCTGGAGCCAGGAGCTTCCTCTGGGTCTCCCACATGGGTGCAGGGGCCCAAACACCTGCAGGCCACAGCAGCGAGCTGAGACAGAAGAGGAGCAGCTGGGACACAAACCAGTGCCCGCATGGGATGCCAGTGCTGCAGACGGTTTAGCCTACTATGCCACCGGGCCAGCCCCCCATTTCTTTCTTTAAAAGTGTTTATTTACTTATTTTAATTTTATTTGAAATTCAGAAAGAGAGAGAGAGAGAGAGAGAGAGAGAGAGTCCATTCTCTGGTTCATTCCTCAAATGCCTGCAATAGCCTGGGCTGGGTCAGGCCAAAGCCAGGAGCTAGAAACTCTATCTGGGTCTCCCATGTGGGTGGCAGGGACCCAACTACTCAAGCCATCACCCACTGCCTCCCAGGAAGCTGTGATGGGGAGCAGAGCTGAGACTGATACCCAGGCACTGCTATAAGGGATGTGGGCCCCTAGTGATGTCTTAACTGCTGTATCAAATGCCACCTGATGGCCTTCCCTCTCCATTCCACTCTGTCCTTCTAGATTCCCAAAGCAGAAGCCTAGACTCATCCTGGGTCCTTCCTCTCCCTCCACATTTGTCCATCTTCAGTATCCTAAACCATTCTGACTCCGATTTCCCACCCTGACTGCAGGCCAAGGACCACTTGCACTGGACCCTGAATCCAGCCAACCAGTAGATCTCACAGACTCCTAAAAATCTTTATTTCTTTGAAAGGCAGAGAGACAGAGACAGTTAAGGAGAGAGAGAGAAAGAGAGAGAGAGAACTCTTTCATCTCTGGATTCACTCCGCAGATACCCACAGTAACTGGGCTGGGCCAGGCTGAAACCAGGAGCTGAGAACTCCAGCTATCATCTCCCTTGTGGCAGCATCACTTCCTGCTGCCTCCCCGGGTACACCTTAGCAGGAAGCTGGAATCAGGAGTGGAGCCCAGGCACTCCAACACGGGATGTACGTGTCCCAAGCAGTGTCTTAACGGCTACACCAAACGCCTGCCCCTTACCATCACTTTACAGAGGACAGAAGATATCTGGATGAAGTGTTCTGCCAGGGTCACTAATTCATATGCTCTCAGTGGTCAGTGCCCAGCCAGACAGACAGGAATCACAAATGACAAGGGAGGCAGGAGGAGGGAGCTCCAGCTCACCACACAGCCTGCACCAGCCAGGTCCTCCAGCCGTACAGGAAAGACTATGACTTTAATAGAAATGAATACAGCTTGTTTAAAACGCTGTGCTGGTCACTGCTCTGCAGGCGACTGGGCCTATGGCCGCCAGCTCTTGACCTCCTGCAATAGTCCCCTTTGGATTCTCAGTTCCTCTTTGCTTTCCAAGCTGCCAGTAGCTTTGCTCATCTGAAGGACGACCTCTAGCTCTAGCTTTGAGAAGGAGTCAGTCACATATTCATGTGTTTGTTCGTTCCTTCATTTGACACTTGCTGGGCACCTGCTCCAGGCCAGGCCCTGAGAACTCTGCGCTGGGCGAGGCAGCCCCTTCTCCTGCAGTGGGAGAGATGGTGTTGGTAGTCATAACACGTGTCCTAGGCACTGTGACAGGGACATGTGTGGAACCGCCAGGGTGATAGGATGGGCTCTGCTTAGGGCTGTGGAAGGCTTCAGGGAGAAGGTGGCATCTGAGCTGAGGCTGCAAACACGTGAGGGAATTCACCAGGTGAACAAGAGAGGGAGGGCGCTCCAAACAGGAGCCACGAGTTGGGCAGGATACATATCTGGGGACGGCAGGGCCGTGTCCTTGGAGTAGACGGAGCACGTGTTCCTGGCAAGAGGAGGCCAGGGGGAGTGGAGGCTGGGAAGGGGCCTTGCAGACCAGGCCTGGGAGTTGAGACCTCAACACACAGGGGTTCAGTCTCTGAGCTGAGCTGGACTACTGCCTCCCAGTAGTCCACTGGGCCACGTCTGTCTACCTGTGGTGCCCCAAACCCTGCTTCGTCACTGCCCCCTGCTTTCCAAGCCCCATTCCTGCCTGGCTCTCAGGGCTGTTAAGACCCCAGCCCTCTGGTGTATTCCCCATGGCTCCACAGCTCGAGTCCTCGGCCCCAGTCGGCCGTGTCCCCTTACTTACTGTGTCCCTCGCCTGCCCTGTCCCTTCCCAGCTCAGGCTGGGCCTGTAGTTTAGACTCTCCCTCCAGCTGCAGCAGAGCATGGATCAGAAGGGGAGACACCCAGGGCAGGAAGGCCATGGCAGTGACTGTCACCTTCAGCTCAGGCCAAGGGAGGCGCAACAGAGATGTTTAGGAGGCAGGGGCCGGGGCCTGGCTGCTGGCAGTGTCACCCTTCCTAGCTTCGGGGGTGGGGGGCAGCGATTAGTTCCTCTGGGGGCTACACTTTGTGGGGATCTCTTTGTCCCAGGTGAACGCCCACCGAGACAGTGCCTTCACATTCCTCAGCCAGAGTCTGGAGTACGCCAAGAGCCCACGGGCCTCCCTCCGCAAGTCCTCAGTCATGTTCATAGGTAAGCGGCTTTGGCGTCTCTGGTCCTGCTGCCAAGACACTGCCTGTTCCTCAGTTTGCTGCCTCCCAGGCTGCCAGCCCTGCAGGGACCCGGGTGGATGCCTCCTCACAGGCTGGGGACAGTCATGGTGCCCTGATTAGGATGGTCTTCTCTCCTCTTAGAACATGGCTTAGGAAGTGGGCCACAGGCTACAGTCAGCCTGAAGCCCTTGTGCAGCTCCAGCCTTGGCAACTGTGCAGCGGAATTGCTGCTGGCCCTAGAGAGCAGCATGGGCTCGAGCCCAGCAGGTGCCTGGCAGCAGAGTCTCAGCCCTAGGATCTCCTTTCTGCGGGGCTCCCATTGAGCCTCAGTTTCGTCATCTGTAAGATGGGGGTTGACACTTGCTCCACACACTGGATGAGGATTTTTGGTTTTAAAGGTGGCGCCTGCTACATCAGGGTGCACCATGCTAGCCACCTTCATTCTTTTATTTCCCACTTTCCAGCACCTGCCTTTCTGGGGAAAAAAAAAAAAAACAAATAGCAGATTCACCTTGCCTGGAATCCCCCCAGCATCCCCTAGGCCCCTCCCCCACAGAGCACATGCCCTTCACCAGGGACCTGGACACCTTGTTGCCAGGTGAAGAGTCTGTTAGCACCCCTCCCCGATTCATCTGCTGTGGCCATGCCCTCGGTCACTCATGCATCCACCATTCAGCAGACACTGGTTGACTCCTACTCTGTGTGGGGCTAGAGAAACAAAGTCTTCAGGAGGTGATGCTGATGGGGCACAGGGGTGACTCTCAGGATAGGGGGTGGCTCTGAGGTGGCTTCCCCGGGAAGAAGCTGGGGAGTGCACCTGTTTCCTAGAGGCTGATTTCTTTAAATCTTTTTTTTTTTTTAAGATTTATTTTATTTATTTGAAAGGCAGAGTTACAGAGAGAAAGAGAGAGAGAGAGAGAGAGAGAGAGAGGTCTTCCATCCACTGGTTTACTGATTTACTCCCCAAATGGCCACAACTGCCAGGGCTGGACCAGGCCGAAGCCAGGAGCTTCATCTGGGTCACATGGGTGCAGGGGCCTAAGCACTTGGTCTATCTTCCATTGTTTTCCCAAGCTCATTAGCCGGGACTCAGACCAGTACCCATAGGAGATGCTGGCACTGCAGGTGGAGGCTTAATCTTCTATGCCACAGCATTGGCCCCAATTTCTTCCTTTTTTTATTTAATTTTTTAATTTTTTGACAGGCAGAATGGACAGTGAGAGAGAGAGAGACAGAGAGAAAGGTCTTCCTTTTCCATTGGTTCACCCCCTAAATGGTTGCAACGGCCAGCACACTGTGCCGATTCAAAGCCAGGAGCCAGGCACTTCCTCCTGGTCTCCCATGCGAGTGCAGGGCCCAAGCACTTGGGCCATCCTCCACTGCACTCCTGGGCCACAGCAGAGAGATGGCCTGGAAGAGGAGCAACCGGGACACAATCCGGCACCCCAAGCGGGACTAGAACCCGGTGTGCCGGCGCCGCAGGTGGAGGATTAGCCTAGTGAGCCAAGGCGCCAGCCCCCAATTTCTTTAACTCTTGCTCCACGTTAATCGCTCCTCAAAATGTTAGTGTCTCACACCCTGGGATCTTCTCTGTGCCAGGGCTGGGGCTGGGGCAGCAGAGCTGAGGAGAGCCCAGTCTGCCCATGGACAGCTTCCAGTGCAATGCACCAACTCTCACCTCCTTTGGGTCCTGAGAAGTACATATATGCCAACGATTTCCCCTGCCACTTTAGTGTATCCTTGGGAGGGATACACTCCTCCCAAGCTCTTCCCCACTGGCACCAGGGTGAAGAGACTTCTGATATGGTGGGAAACAAAGAGTCATAAATCACAAGGAAAACACAACACAGGGTCAACAGAGAAAAGCTCAGATGCTCCAGGATCCCAGAGAGACGTCTAACCTATCCTGGGGCCGGGGCAGGAAGGATCTTCCCCAGGAGCCACCTGTTACCCTGAGATTTGAGGACAAACAGGAATTGGCCAGGAGGAGAAGTGAGATCAGGCTCATTCAGGCCTTGTGGGCACCGGGAGCCAGGGCACAGGCTGGAGCAGGCAGGGCAGAGCAGCGTGGCCAAGGGATCCGAGGTGGCAGATCCTGTACCCAGCCCAGCTGAGGGTCAGCCCCAGCAGAGGTGCCACTGACAGCCATGCCTGACAGGTGGGCCTGGTGCCTCATGTCCTCCAAGTTATGGCTGCTCAAACTCCTGGGAGAAGTGGCCAGCCAAGGCAGCATCTCCCTGTGTCGCCACTGAGAGACCAGCCCAGGGCTGCACCATCAGAGCCGGCTGCTGCCCAGATCCTGCCCCTGTGCTGGTGCCATCACTGCCCCCTGGACCCGTCTTGGGGACTCTGCCCTAGGGATGAGTTCCCCTGTTGTGTCCTTATGTGTGGGGCTGAAGGGGCTGGGGGGTACTTCTCTGGGAAGTCTGGGCTGAGGTGGCACGGCGGGAATACCCTGACCTCTTGGGTTGTGCTCAGGGTCCCTGGTCCCCTGCATGGAGGGCATAATGACGGAAGAGCGCCTGAACGAAGTGAAGACTGGTGAGTGCGCCCGGCTGCTGCGGCCTAGAGCAGAGTACACACGGGGGCGGGGGGTGGGGGGAGGGCATGCTCAGGCAAAGGTCTTCAGCTCAGCTGAGTGCCCCGTCCTCATCCAGGGTGATGACGACATTAGCTACTGCAGGGTTATAAGAGACAGAACGCATGGCCCATGCTGTGGTACTTACGGTCTCATTAAGAAGGGAGGCTCCAAATAAGACCCCAAACCATTTAGTGCTAGGCAAGTACTTCAGACTTGTCAGGGGCACAGATTCACTTTGTAACCGGAGAAGCTGGTAGGGGCAGGAACCTAGGCTGGCACAGTGCAGGAAGGCTTCCTTTAGGAGGCAGGTTTGGCTTTAGGCCTTTGAAAGATGTGAACAGTGTGAAGGGGGAAAGGGAAAATCGACGAGGCAATGCTGGGCAGAGGATGCCTAAGCCGAGGCCTAGTGGTGGGAAGGAAGAATGAGGCCGGAGAGCCCTGTGGGGACCTGGTCTGAACAGGTGACTTCTCCCCTTCCACGAGGCAGCTCTGGAAAACCTGAGACACGACCCGGAAGCATCCGTGTGCATCTGTGCGGCGCAGGCCCAGGAGCACATCCTGGCCAGCTGCTGGCGGAACTCCTGGCCACTGCCGCATGGGGATGCGTGGGTGTGCGACCCGGCCACCACGCACCGCTGGAGCCCCAGCTGTGAGGACCTGCCCACTTCCCACCAGCGGCGCTCCTGGATCCTGCAGGCCCTGAGCTCCTGGAAGATCTCCTTGAAGCAGTGACGGCCCCACGCCCAGCCACACCTGCTATAAACGCCACATGGCTTACCCCTCCAGCAGGAGTGTGTCCTCTCGGGGGAAGCTACAGGCTCTGCAGCAGCAGCCCCACCCCATGCAACCAATCCAGGAGGAGCAGGGCCTTCATTTGCTGGCTCAGGCAATGCTGAGTGAGGCACAGAGACCGTTGCGTCTACACTGTCCAGGTGGGGAGGCCGAGACTCAGAGAGGACAAGGGCCTTGCCCAGGGCCACACAGCGAGTCTGCCATAAGTCCTTCCCCATTAAGCACAAAAGGGGGTGAAGGTTTGGGTGACCTGGAAGGGAAGGAAAGGAGAGGGGAAGGAGGGACTCCCTCCCTCCCCTGACATCAGCACATCCCAGAACCTGATCTGAGCCCCACCCCTGGGACAAGGCCACTATGGATTCCAGCACTGTTCCCGGAGTACCTGACCTGGGTGGCCGCTTCTGGGCTCTGGGGATCCAGACACGGGCGAGCCCAGCCCAGGCCCTGAACAGGTGTCTGAAGCAGAGGTTTTCCACCAGTGGAGACTTAGCCCCCAGGATGTTTAATCACATCTGGAGACACTTCAGGCAGTGTCGGCATGGGGTGCTAGTAACGCCTAGTGGGCAGAGGCCAGGGGTGCTGCTAAGTACCCTGCAAGGCACAGCGCAGCCCCTGCAGCCAAGAGTCAGATGGCATAAGGGCTGAGGCAGAGAGACTTGGGCTTCATTTATCAGAGCCATATAAAGACACCAAGAGCACTGTAGGGAGGCATGGGGGCTATGGAGTCCAGAGGGGCACACAGGCCAGTAGGGGGCTGGGTAGCGGCGTCCCAGGGAAGAGCCCCCCCCCCACCCCCGCACCAGGAGGTTTGGAAAGACAATCCTGTGGTGAGCATGTGTGGAGGGGAGTGGGACACACGGGCCCAAGGATCAGCTGCAGATGGAGCCTAGTGTGAGAGAGGAGAGGAGGCCAAGGCCACTGCCACCCTGTAGGTGGTGCAGAGGAAACTGACGACTTCACCGGGAAATATTGGGAAGGCCTGCGGGCTGCTAACCTGGGAGAGATGGCGCAGATGCCTGCCTTTTTTTTTTTTTTTTTAAGATTTTTATTTATTTATTTGAGAGGTAGAGTTACAGACAGTGAGAGGGAGAGACAGAGAGAAAGATCTTCTTTCCATTGGTTCACTCTCCAAATGTCCACAACAGCTGGAGCTGTGCCAATGCCGATCCGAAGCCAGGAGCCAGGTACTTCTTCCTGGTCTCCCACATGGGTGCGGGGGCCCAAGCACTTGGACCATCTTCTATTGCTTTCCCAGGCCACAGCAGACAGCTGGATTGGAAGAGGAGCAGTCAGGACTAGAACCAGCACTCATGGGATGCTGGTGCCACAGGCGGAGGATTAACCTACTATGCCATGGCGCCAGCCTCGCTTTTTTTTTTTTTTTTTAAAGATTTATTTATTTGAAAGGCAGAGAGAGAGAGAGAGAGAATATGATGAAGTCTATTCAGCATTCTTTGTAGTGCCCTGGAGAGAAGGCAGCTTGGGAACTCGTCCTGGTGGAGTGAATGCTGGGGGTCCCACTCAGCTGTCAGAGGCCGTGGGGGTACAGGTGTCACCGTGGACGGGATCTAAGACCAGGTGCGGAGTAAAAAGTCTACGGCACTTGTGTCCACAGAGGGATTCACATTTGGCAAGCACAGTCACAAACTTAGAATCACATCAGAATACTGATTAGGGCCGAGCCAGAAGGGAGGAGGGCTCTGGGGTACAAAAAAGTCTGTGAACTAGAGAAAGCAGAAGAAAGTGTAGCCTGCAGTGTGGCAACAGGGCTGGGTGGTGATGGTGGACAACAGCCAGGACTGACCCGGCCACACACTGCCAAGGAAGGGTGACCTGGGCCCTGCAGGGTGTGACGGAGGGGTGACTGGATCTGTGGGAGAATGAGGAAGGGAGCCCAGGACCTCTTGGCTAACGGAAGAAGGAGGGAAGGGGTGGTGTCAAGGACAGCATACAGGTTTCGGGGTGGGTGACTGAGCCATGGTGCCACCACACTGAGCTGTGAACCCTGGACCAGGTGCAGGTTGGCTGGGAGCAGGGGGAGGGGAGGAGTTTGGGGGACTTGTGCAACATGCTGGTTGGCTGCCTGCTGCTTCGGCTGCATACTTATGCCCCCTTAAGATTCTTATGTTGAAATCCTAATCCTGAAAGTGATGGTATTAGCAGGTAGGGGCCTTTAAGAGGTGATTAGGGATTAAGGAGCGGGATCAGTGCCCTTATGAAAAAGACTCCGGGGCCAGCGCCGCCAATAGGCTAATCCTCTGCCTTGTGGCGCCGGCACACTGGGTTCTAGTCCCGGTCGGGGCGCCGGATTCTGTCCCGGTTGCCCCTCTTCCAGGCCAGCTCTCTGCTGTGGCCAGGGAGTGCAGTGGAGGATGGCCCAAGTGCTTGGGCCCTGCACCCGCATGGGAGACCAGGAGAAACACCTGGCTCCTGCCTTCGGATCAGTGCGGTGCGCTGGCTGCAGTGTGCTGGCTGCAGCGGCCATTGGAGGGTGAACCAACGGTAAAGGAAGACCTTTCTCTCTGTCTCTCTCTCTCACTGTCCACTCTGCCTGTCAAAAATAAAATAAAATAAAAGGGAACAGGAGTGATTGAAATGATGATGGGTGCCTTTAAAAAAAAAAAACGAAAGAAAAGAAAGAGACTCCGGAGAGCCCTGTCCCTTCTGACACGTGAGGACACAGCGAAAAGACGGGAAACAGGCCCTCAGCAAACCCCGAAACTGTCAGCGCCTCGATCTCGGACTCCCATTCTCCAGAACTGTGAGAAATAAATGTGTGTTGTTTATAAGCCACAGAGTCTAAGGTGTTCTATGACAGCAATTTGAATAAGACGGCTGCAGGGCTGGAGGTTGGCGGAGGGCACTTAGATGGAAACAGATGTGGGGTTCACCTGTGTTTGGGGGTGGGGGTGGGGGTGAGGCTGAGGTCTCCCTGGAGCATATACAAGAGATCTTGGCCTGAGAAGCACCTCATCTAAACCCCTGCCGGGCATGAGGAACCCATGATGCTGGTCCCACAACCATCCTCCAATAAATAGTAGGTCAAGGCCATTGGGATTCTCGGCCTGAGGGAGTCAAAAGTAGGGTGGTCCATTCCCACAACCCTTTCCATGGCCAAGCAGACCCACAATGTCTCACCATAGCCTGATGGATTATGAGGAAGCAGGCCAGTTCTCTTGCTTACTTTCTATAGCAAGGACACAGTTTAATAGGTTAAGGAGGGGTGGGCCTGGGGCAGGCTCTGTGACATAGTGGGTTAAGCAACCACCTGCAACACTGGCTCTCATAATGGTGCTGGTTCAAGTCCTGGTTGCTCCACTTCTGATTCAGCTCCTGCTAATGCACCTGGGAAGGCAGCAGAAGATGGCCCAAGTCCTTGGGCCCCTGCACCCACGTGGGAAACCTTGTAGAAGCTTCTGGCTTCTGGTTTCAGCCTGGCCCAGCACCAGCTGTTGTGGCCACTTAGGAAGTGAACCAGTGGATGGAAGATCTCTCTCTCTCTCTCTCTCTCCCCCCCCTCTCTGTAACTCTGCCTTTCAAATAAATGAAAAATAAATATTTTTAAAAAATATATAAATTTATTTCAATGTGAAAAATTGATATATTTATAAGAAGGGTCTTCAAAAAGCTCATGGAAGGAGCTGGCGCTTTGGTGTAGCAGGTAAAACTGCTACCTGCAGTGCTGGCATCCCATATAGGCACTGGTTCAAGTCCTAGCTTCTACACTTCTGATCCAGCTCTCTGCTATGACCTGGGAAAGCAGGGGAAGATGGCCCAGATCCTTGGGTTCCTGCATCTGCATGGGAGACCTGGAAAAAGCTCCTGGTTCCTGGCTTCATATCAGTGCAGCTCCAGCCGTTGCAGCCAACTGGGGAGTGAACCAGTGGATGGAAGACCTCTCTCTCTCTCTCTGCCTTTCCTTCTCTCTGTGTGTAACTCTACTTTCAAATAAATAATCTTTAAAAAAAAAACTCATGGAAAATGCATATTATGGAAAAACCATGCATGGATCTCAATTTTTTTTTGCACCAAAAATCCTTATCTTTTGGGCCGGTGTTGTGGTGTAGTGGGTAAAGCCACTGCCGGTGAGGCCAGAATCCCATATGGGCTCCAGTTTGAGGCCCGGCTGCTCTACTCCTGATCTAGCTCCCTGCTAATGTGCTGGGAAAGTAGCGGAAAACTGTCCAAGTGCTTGGGCTCTTGCACCCATGTGGGAAACCCAGGTGAAACTCCTGGCTCCAGCCTGTCCAGCCCCAGCTGTGTGGCCATTTAAGGAAGTGAACCAGTGGATGGAAGACATCTCTCTCTCTCTCTCTCTCTCCCTCTCTCCCTCCCCCTCCCTCTCTTCCTCTGTGTAACTCTTTCAAATAAATAAAATTTTTAAAAAAATCTTTATCATTTAATTCCATTTTTCATGAACGTTTTGAAATCTGTCTCTCGTCCCAGGTCGTCCGCTGTGCGCACTGGGACCGGGTGCTGGTTTGGCTGCTTCTGCTGCCTGTGCACTTTTCATTCTAGCCCAGGGTGGGCGCTCCCCATGGCCGAGGCAGCCCTTTGCTGGGTAAGGGTGGCTGCAGGAAGCCGCAGCGGCTGGGTCGGGGGCGCTGCCTCACCTGGACTGGAGACCCTGCTTCCATCTCAGCTGGGGGTGGGGCTGGGGGTCAAGTTCAGAAACGGACACACTGACCAGTCATTTCTTCCTGAAAACACTGCCGAAGGTCGCATCCCATCCGAACACCAAGGCCTCAGGATTTATCTCCCCGGCCTCCCCCAGCTGCCCCACCTGCTTCCTCCTCGGGGAGAGCTGCCGTCCAGCGCCGCACGCCCAGGCGCCTCGGCCTTCGCGGCCCGAGTAAACTTTGCCCCAGTGACTCTCGCCCGCGGATCTCCCCACAGGCCCTGTTCTCTGCTTTCCCCACCAGGTCCACCCCTGGACGTAACCCGCCGGGAACACAGCGGGAGCTTGAATATGTGTTGAGTGACAACACGGAGCGGATGCAGCGATCCTGGGGACTTGTGGGCGTGGGGCGGGCGGGGTTGAGGCACAGCAGAGGGACGGCCCGGACGCGGGAGGGGCGGGGCCGAGGCGCGCGGGCCGGCCACGCCCCCAGGCCGGCGGAACCTTGGGCGCGTGGGTCGGAGCCGCCCGGAGGATTGAGGGAAGGGCGCCCGCCGCTGCCGGAAGGAGCGCGCGCTGCTTAACCTCGCGACCGGCGCTTGAGAACTGGGGAGCTGTCATGGAGCGCTCTGAGCCGGACGCTGCCGACGACAACGCCATGGACTCGTTCCTGGAAAAGTTCCAGAGCCAGCCTTACCGTGGCGGCTTCCACGAGGACCAGTGGGAGGAGGTGGGCGTCCCAGGGGGTCTCTGCGCGCGTTTGGGGTGGTCGTCCCGACCCCTGAGGCTCCCTGGTTTGGCGTGACTCTCTCACGCCCAGATCTCTGTTGCTGCCGGCAGATGGGTGGTTTGTAGTAGAGTGTAAAAAACAGGCCTCGAGGTTGTGAGAAGTCTAAAGCCGTTGGTACGTTAGCGAGTCCCGGGTTTGGGGTCAGGTCTATGACCCCCCCCCCCCCCAGCTCTGATAGTGGGTAAGGTACTTAGCATTCTGATTTCGTTTCCTTTTCTATAAAATTGCTCTCCCTAGAGCACTAATCGTCTAGGCTTGTGGCAGAGATGAAATGAGATGGTGGGTGTGTAAGTGCACCCAGAGTGGCAGCCACTAACACCTATAGGATATGAGACTCGATAGGATCGTAGATTAGGTTATTCCTTACACGCTCTTTTTTTTTTTTTAAGGTTTATTTATTTGAAAGGCAGAATTACAGAGAGGCAGAGGTGGGGGGGGGAGAGAGAGGGAGAGGTCTTCCACTTGCTGGTTCACTCCTCAGATGGCTGCAATGGCCAGAGCTGGGCTGATCTGAAGCCAGAAGCTTCTTCCAGGTCTCCCACATGAGTGCAAGGGTCCAAGGACTTGGGCCATCTTCTACTGCTTTCCCAGGCCATAGCAGAGAACAGGATCAGAAGTGGAGCAGCTGGGACTGGAACTGGCACCCATATGGAATGCCAGCACTGCAGACGGTGGCTGTACCTGCTATGCCAAGTGCTGTTACCATCCATGCTCATTTTACAAAAGGGAAACTGAGGCCTGTGGAGATAGGCAATCATGATGATGTGCTGGCGCCGTGGTTCAGTAGGCTAATCCTCCACCTGCGGCGCCAGCACCCCGGGTTCTAGTCCCGGTTGGGGCGCCCGTTCTGTCCGGGTTGCTCCTCTTCCAGTCCAGCTCTCTGCTGTGGCCCGGGAGTGCAGTGGAGGATGGCCCAGGTCCTTGGGCCTTGCACCCACATGGGAGACCAGGAGGAAGCACCTGGCTCCTGGCTTTGGATCAGTGCAGAGTGCCGGCCGCTGGCCATAGCGGTCACTTGGGGGGTGAACCAACGGAAAAAGGAAGACCTTTCTCTCTGTCTCTCTCTCTCACTGTCTAACTCTGCCTGTCAAAAAAAAAATTTATTGTGAGAAAGAAAACGTTGATAATGAGTCATGAAATCGCATCTACTAATTGAAGATCTTGTTCATGTCAAGCCATGTTATCCTGAGGAATCAGGAGAGGTGTGTGTGTGGTCGGTCCGACATGTGGCTGTGTACTCCGACTGTAGGGAGTGCAGTTGGAACACAGAAAGGCAGGAGTAGGTTCACACTGGACCGGAAATCTGAACTGAGTCTTGACAGTTTTGTGGGTTCTTCCTGGTGGGAGGGGATGGGGGACACACAGAATTTTCACTCCACAGAATAAACAAAAACAATATAGTATCCCCCTCTTTCTTTAGGATAAGTATAGTTCTTTTTTTAATGCTTTTTTTTTTTTTTTTTTGGAGGTGGGGTAAGCACTTAGTAATTTCCCCTGCCAGGCATTTGAAATTGATTACATCACTAAGTTTGCATGACTTTGTTTCTCCATGTTGACTCCCATTTTTATTGTAACATTAATTTTGGTCAATATTGGGTTTCTTCTTTAGGATTATCATGTATTACCTTATTACCTGGTTTAGAAGCGACTTTTGGGGAGCCTTTTTTAAAAAGTAGGAAGTAGTGATTACTTCTCTTCTTTGCAGAACAGGCCAAAACCTATAAGGATGAAGGCAACGATTACTTTAAAGAAAAAGACTACAAGAAAGCTGTGATTTCGTACACGGAAGGTTTGAAGAAGAAATGTGCAGATCCTGATTTGAATGCTGTCCTTTATACGAACCGGGCAGCAGCACAGTACTATCTGGGTAATTTCTTTCATTAGTGAGTGATCTGAAGAATTAACTTACAGTCAGAGCCACTATGAGGGCTAATGGAAAGCTTGAGAGTATCAGAGAAAGAGGTGCTGTTTTTCCCAGAAACCTAAAGATAGTGTATTCTGATTGAGCTCTGACCTTCCAGATAGATGTGGTAAAAAGGAAAGCAGGATGGACTGTATAATTCTTCCTGCCTGAACCCAGATAAGTGACATATCAGTGACCTACAAAGGTCTTTGATACCTGAATCAGTATGATTTGAGATTTTTGAGTCCAAGTTTCTATTCTCTCAAAAATTTTTTTTAGGATTTATTTATTTATGCGAAAGGCAGAGTTAGAGAGAGAGAGAGAGAGAGATCTTCCATCTGCTGGTTCACTCCCCAGATGGCTGCAATAGCCAGGGCTGGGCCAGACTAAAGCCGTGAGCCAGGAGTTTCTTCCGGGTCTCCCACATGAGCGCAGGGGCCCAAGCACTTGAGCCATCCTGCGCTGCTTTCCCAGGCACATTAGCAGAGAGCTGTATTGGAAGTGAAGCAGCCAGGGCTCAAAACTATGTGTTAGACCTGTGTTTCTTACCACAGAATGTTCAGGGGACCTAGGTGTGATGTCAGGCATTTCTGAGGGGCTGATAGGGAACAGGGCCTACAGTGTAAACACAGTGAGTCCATGGGACTCATCACCATTTCAGCAGTTTCTCTCCAGCCACAGTGTGCTTGAAGTGGTTTCTCCCTTAGTCTGTTTCATTCTAAGACTTTAAAAAGTCAGAGGGATACAGACCTTATAGATTATTGGGGCCAACTAACCTCTGGTTTAGCATCAGCCCAGAAAAAGTTCTTTTTTTTTTTTTTTTTTTTTTTTTTTTGACAGATAGAGTTAGAGAGACAGAGAGAAAGGTCTTCCTTTTCCGTTGGTTCACCCCCGAAATGGCTGCTACGGCCAGCGTGCTGTGCCGATCCGGAGCCAGGAGCCAGGTGCCTCCCCCTGTTCTCCCATGTGGGTGCAGGGCCCAAGGACTCAGGCCATCCTCCACTGCATTCCTGGGCCACAGCAGAGAGCTGGACTGGAAGACGAGCAACCGGGAGAGAATCCTGCGCCCCAACTGGGATTAGAACCTGGGGTGCTGGTGCCACAGGCGGAGGATTAGCCTAGTGAGCTGCGGTGCTGGCCCAGAAAAGGTTCTTTTAATTAGTGTCAGAACCTGGACCAGAAACTTGGTCTCTTACTCCTGGGGGAGAGCATTTCCTTCATTCTGTAGAGAAACAGGACTTTGTTCTCTGCTAGGCTCTGGCATTGTAGAAATGAGTAAGTCCTGGCCTGTCTCAAAAGCTGTTTTGTTCTTTTATTTATTCGATCAGGAACTGTGTCTTAAGCTCTTACCTCCTGTTAGATACTATCCTGCAAACAAGAGCTACTTGGTTTCTGATGAGGGGCTTACAGATGTGGTTTATAGGGCTAATAATACCAAAATGCCTTGCAAGAAAAAGGAATGTATGTTTTTTTTTAATTTATTCTACTTTTTTTTTTTTTTTTTTGACAGGCAGAGTGGATAGTGAGAGAGAGAGACAGAGAGAAAGGTCTTCCTTTGCCGTTGGTTCACCCTCCAATGGCCGCCGCGGCTGGCGTGCTGCGGCCAGCGCACCGCGCTGATCCGATGGCAGGAGCCAGGTGCTTCTCCTGGTCTCCCATGGGGTGCAGGGCCCAAGCACTTGGGCCATCCTCCACTGCACTCCCTGGCCACAGCAGAGAGCTGGCCTGGAAGAGGGGCAACCGGGACAGAATCCGGCGCCCCGACCGGGACTAGAATCCGGTGTGCCGGCGCCGCAGGCGGAGGATTAGCCTATTGAACCGTGGTGCCGGCCCTAATTTATTCTACTTCTTTGAAAGGTGGTTACACAGAGAGAGGGAGAGAGGCAGAGAGAGGTCTTCCACTCACTGGTTCACTCCTCAAATGGCTGCAACAGTCAGCACTGGGCCAGGCCAGAGCCAGGAGCCAAGGAGCTTCTTCAGAGTCTTCCATGTTGGTGCAGGGGCCCAAGCACTTGGGCCATCCTCTGCTGCTTTCCCAGGCCGTTAGCAAGGAGCTGGATGGGAAGTGGAACAGCCAGGACTTGAACCAGCTCCCATCTGGGATGCAGGTGTTGCAGGTGGTGGCTTTATCCACTATGCCACAAAGTCGGCCCCTCCAGAAAAAGAAATGTGTGTGTGTGTAATACGAGAGGAGCAGATGTGTGATCATCATACTTTCCTTCATTGATGTGTCACTGGTGCAGCTGGCAAAGCACTGCGTGTTCATTGTCTCACTTGACCTTGTAGCAACTATGTGAGGTAGGTGAGGTTAGTGGCGTATTTCTAGACAATGGATTCAGAAACTGTAGAATAGAATAGTAATTATAGAAAAATAAATTGTCTCTAAGTGTATTTGGTGCTGGGATCAGGATGCAAAGTCACGTTGGCAGTGAAAGAGTTACAATATAGCATGCACAGTGTAGAGACAGGGACCATTTCTAGAGTATGCATGAGGTGCACTACTTCAGGCTTCCTGGAGCAAGTGACCCCATAATGAGACTGTAAGAAGAATAGGCATTAATCAGGTAGAAGCAGGTGGTGGAAACATTCCATCAGAAGAGAGCAGTGCTTAGAGAAATTCAGGAAAATCATTGTTGCCAAATAGAAGAGCAAGGTAGGGAGCTGTGAGATCAGCTAGAGAAACTGGCAGGGCTGGGTCATGGAGATCGGTTCCGTGTTGAGGAGTTTGGACTTGGTGCATCGTCAGGGAAGAGCCATTGAAGGCCTTGTTCTGGTGGGTGTCCCATTGCATTTCTGCAGATTTGCAGCGGACCACCTTAGCATGTTGCGGAGCGGGGTGGGGGGTGGATTTGAAGAGGAAAACCTTGAGGAAAGCAGTGGCAGAGAGGATGCAGATAAAAGATGGATTTGGGAGAAGTGACATTGGTCAAAGCGGTTGGGCATGTTGAATTAGGGAGGGATTGGGGATGACTTCCTGGTTTCCAGTGGGAAGAGAGTATACCGCCGCTAGAAATAGGGAGTCTAGAGGGAGCAGCTTTTAGGAAGTCAGGGTGGGCATGAGTGATATTATTAAGTTTCTTTGGGACATGTCAGGTTTGAGGTACCTATGAGCTGTCATGATGGAGAGTCCAGAATGCACCTGGATGGACTGATGGGAAACGTAAGGGAAAGGCTTGGCCTGGAGATGGTGAAGCCTAGTGGCCAGAAACTTCCCAGGGAAGGTACACGGGGAGAAAGAACAGTGGCAGATGGAGGCCAGGCTGTGACAATAAAGTTAAGCTTCCGCCTGCAATGCCGAAATCTCATAGGGACACCGGTTCAAGTCCCAGCCCTCCATATCTGATTCAGTTCTCTGCTAATGTTCCTGGAAAAGCAGTGGAAGATGACCCAAGTCATTGGGCTCCTGCACCCATGTGGGAGACCAGGAAGAAGCTCCTGGCTTCTGGCTCCTGGCTTTGGATTGGCCCAGTCCCAGGTTGTGGCCATCTGGGGAGTGAACCAGTGGATGGAAAATCTCTCTCTCCTTTTTTCTTTGTATCTCTACCTTTCAGATAAATAAATAAATCTTAAAAAAAAAACAAAAAAAAAAACAGTGGCTGAACAAACTATAGGAATCGCCAACAGGGAAGTGGTGGATGAAGTGGCCCAAAAGAGAGATTGATCAGGAAGAGTTGAGGCAACCTGGAAAATACTGTATCAAAATACTATGTGTAAAGAACAGATCTCAAGGAAAAGTCACTACCGCAGAGAGGGTGACTAAATGGTTTCCCATCTGATTGTATCCAGATGATGATTGTGAGTATTTTTGTAAAACTGGCCCTGGGCTGCCAGTCTTGCTTATCTTGTGAATGTAGTTCTGCTCTTTATTGTACAGGGTGCATGACCGTAACTTCATATGCATGGATGTCTGCTTTTGAAACCCGAGACTGTAGGGCAGGTGTTTGGTGCAGCGGTAAGATGCTGCTTAGGCTGCCTGCATCCTGTTATCAGAGTGGCTGCGTTCCAATTCCAGCTTCCTGGGAGGCAGCAGTGCCTGTTCAAGCACTTGGGTCCATACCACCCATGTGGGAGACCTAGGTTGAGTTCCAGGCTCCTAGGCCCAGGCCCAGCTGTTGCAGGCATTTGGGAAGTGAACCCGTGGAAGAAAGATCTGTCTTTTTTTCTCTGTCTCCCTGCTTTTCAAGTGAAAAAAATTTTTTTAATTAAAAAATATCTAGGACTGTTAGCTGTTGAGTTGGACATACGCGTATTTTGGTAACTTTTATTAAAAAAGTAATACAGAGGCAGCTCTTTGGTGTAGCTTTTATGACACTGCTTGGAGGATAGCACTGTGGTGCAGTGGGTTGGGCCACGACCTGCAGTGCAGGCATCCCATATGGGTGCTGACACAAGACCTGGCTGCTCCACTTCCAATTCAGCTCTCTGCTAATGGCCTGGAAAAGCAGTAGAAGATGGCCCAAGTCCTTGGGCTCCTGCACCCATGTGGGAGACTTAGAGGAAGTTCCTGGCTTTGGTGTGGCACAGCCCAGGTCATTACGGCTGTTTAGGGAGAGAACCAGTGGATAGAAGATCTCTGTCTGTCCTCTCTCTGTAACTCTGCTTGCAGACTAATAAATAAATCTTATAAAACAATGCTGCTTGGGATGGCCACCCGCCCATATTGGCATGCCTGTTCTAGTCCTAGTGCCTCTGCTTCCAGCTGCTTCCAATCCAGTTTCTTACTAATGCTTACGCTGGGAAGCAAGAGGTGATGGCTCAAGTACTTGAGTCCCTGCCAGTCACCTAGGAGACCTGGACTGAGTTCTGGGCTCCTGGCTTTGGCCTGCTCAGCTCTGGCCGTCTTTGGCATTTGGGGAGTGAATCAGCAGATGGAACGATCTCTCTGTCTACCTTTCAGATGGAATGAAAATAAGTAAATGAAAATTCAGAAGAAGTAATGTTTATTGTAACAACTTTGAAAAATA